TTTTTAACTTAACACTCTGTGGACATATTTTCACATCAATAGACAAGAACTAATCATTACTTACACCATAGTCCATTGCATGGATTTACTACATAAAAGTCAATGAATCCCCAACTGATTGACACTTGATTTAGTTTTATTATGAACATATTGTACATATTTCTTTTTTAATTTTTAGAGAGAGAGTGAGAGCACACAAGCAGGAGAGAGGAACAGAGGGAGAGAGAGACAGAAAGAGAATCTCATGCAGGCTCCATGCTCAGTGTGAAGCCCAACATGGGGCTCAATCCCATAACCTTGGGATCATGACCTGGGCTGAAATCAAGAGTTGGACGCTTTAATGAATGAGCTACCCAGGCACTCCCTATGGTACATATATTTCACATTTTGCTGTTATTTCCTCAGGATCAATCTCTAGAAGGAAAATGATGGAATCAAAGAACTCCCACCATTTTGGTCTTCGATATACAAACAAAAATGTTCTCCAGGAAGGTTGTTAGGATTTCAAGCTGTATCAACAACATAAACACCCATCTCTTTATGCTTTTATCAATTCTGGATATTGCTGTTCTTTTACGATTTTTGCCTATCCCGTCTTAATTTACATTCTCCTCACTACCAAGGATGCTGCAGATTTGTCACATTTAATGAGTATTTGCTTTATTAGTGCTTGTTTCAGTTTTCCTATGAAAGGCCTGACCATATCTTCGCTCATTTTCTATTAGGGTGTTTAAGAAATTTCTACCATCGGTAAAAAAAAAATCTATAGATTATAGAAATTATGAGTCACACCTTTTAACGTTTCTCATTTATAATACAAATACTCCTCATTCATGGAAACATGTTCATAAAATTTTAAATGTAGAGAGATGGAAAGAGGAATGCTTTTCATATACAAAATACGAAATTTTGTAAGTAAGGAACTTTCAGGCTGTGTTAAATGGCAATCAAAATAATCAATGGGAGAAGGTGAATGAACAGGAATCCTGGGTAAGAGTTCTAGAAGACAAAGAAAATTCTTGCTCAAGGGGCGCCTGGGTGGCTCAGTCAGTTAAGTTTTTGACTTCAGCTCAGGTCATGATCTCACAGTTTGTGAGTTCAAGCCCTGTGTCGGGCTCTGTGCTGACAGCTCAGAGCCTGGAGCCTGCTTCGGTTTCTGTGTTTCCCTATCTCCCTTCCCCTCCCCCACTCATGCTCTGTCTCTATCTCTCCCGGAAATAAATATACATAAAAAAAAAAAAGGAAATTCTTGCTCAAATACACATTTTAGAAATATTCTTATAATTGGGTCAAAAAATCTAAATTGAAAATATTTTGAGCCAAAAAAAATGTTTATTTAAATGAACTTATTTTTACTGCACTGGCAAGTAGAGGAATTGATGACAGTGGTCATTCTCTCTGTACTTACAAGCCTGTTTAGAAGCAAAGTAGTGATCAGTCTCTAACGGATTCTTAGCAACCTCCTGCAAGGGCACCTGCAGACTACTAACAGTGCCGAGGTCACCTCACCCTGTTCCCAGCTCCGCCTACCGGAAACTGAGAAACAACCAAACACAGTAAAAAGTAAATAATTTTGAATAACCAGACGAAATCTATGCATTCACATAAACATGACCCTCTCTGGGGGTTTGAAGACTCTACGGAAAAAATGCTGACATTGCTCAAAGAGTTTTTAGAACTGTTGCTTTGGAATTATCTTGAATTACAGTTTATCAGCCAACCAGGAAATAGGTCTTATCATTTTACACCCACGACCGTTCCACAGAAGACATCCAGATGAGTGAGACACTGACCTTGGTCTCAAACACAGAACTTCATCTGGTAGCAAAAAATAAGATGAATACATAGATTAGTTATAATACTGGACAGAATGCTGCGTTATAAGAAATGATAAATAATGGTTCAAAAGTTGGGGCCTCAGGAAATAATTTATAAAAGAAGGAATATTTTAGGTGGCCCTTTAAGGCTAGTTAAGATTTCAAGAAGCAAAAGGTCGTCAGAGGCAGGAAAGCATTCCAGATGTCAGGAATAGTATGGATAAGGGTAGGTAGTTAGAAAAGCATGAAGCTATCTCAGAGAATAATTAGTGGTCAAGAATACATAGAATATAAGAATATACATGGAATACATAATACATGGACTATATGTATTCTCTTTATATGGGAACATCACATGTGCATACATACACAAACAGTGGTAAATGAAGTGGCATAGTAGGGATTAGGGCCATATTAGGTAGAATTTCAAATACCAGGTTTTAACTTGTACTTCACTGACTGGTATAAGAGCCAGTTAAGATTCTGACAAAAGAAAACAATCATATAAATGGTAACCTAAAAGACGTAGTGTCTTATATACTGCCCTTTGCCAGGCTACTTCATAATTTCAAGTGTTTTTAATGAACTATAGAAATAAATTATAGTCTTATTTCAAGTGTTTTTAAAAATTAGTAGATTGCTCTTATGGACTCCTGAATTGTAGAGAACTATAAATCATCAATTTCTTTTAAACCTGGGGCTTCAAATTTGGGTTGTCTCAGTTTGCAAGATTAGGTTCTTTGTAAATCCAGACTCTAGTTAAGAATTAGAAGGAAGGGGCGCCTGGGTGGCTTAGTCGGTTAAGCGTCCGACTTTTGCTTAGGTCATGATCTCGCGGTTCGTGGGTTCGAGCCCCGCGTCGGGCTCTGTGCTGACTGCCAGCTCGGAGCCTGGAGCCTGTTTCAGTCTGTGACTCCCTCTCTCTCTGACCCTCCCCTGCTCAAGCTGTCTCTCTCTATCTCTCCTGGAAATAAGTAAAACATTTAAAAAAAAAAAAAAAAAGAATTAGAAGGAAAACGGGATTGGAAATGGGGAGGCCAGTTCAAAGCTCATCAGCCCAGATGATGGGTAACGGTCTAGCAGGGGGAACAGGATGGACAGAGAAAGTGGACAGTTGGCATTGAGGTGGGGGAATCTGAAGGAGGGGGGGGGCCTTGGGAGACCGTGAAAGATGACTTTAGAATTTTGAAACTTGGTGACTAGAAAAATAATCTTGCCATGAACTAAAAAAGAAAATTCAGGGAAAGGTATCTGAACTGGGAAGAAGGCGAAAATTTGAGTTTGAAACCTTGCTGGGATCAAAACTCCAAAGGGGCACTTATGAAGCATTGGCTAGACTTAGTACGACAGGATGAGACTGAACGGATGTGTTATTTACATGTACATGATGCCATCTCTTCCCCACAAAATATGAGGCAATTGTGAGTGCAAGATAGTCAGTGATGGATTGAATCATAAATAGGAATGTCCACATTAACTAAGGAAGGAAACGAAGTCCCAGCATGAATGAAGCATTATCACAAAAATAAGGGAGCAGTTTCCAGGTAAGGGAGAGGATTTTTTTTTCCTTGAGCATCTACTACCAGTGTTTGGTGATTTCATGTACCACACTGACTTATTTAACAGAATCAAATGATTCTGGAAGATTGAGAATGATCAGAATTAAGGAAGAAGACTTTGGATTTGGCAACTGGTTCACAACCTTCATTTGAAAAGTTATTTCAAACGTTTTTCTTGTGGGGAGTGAACAGGAGTAAAACGCAACTTGCAAGTAATTAAGAAGTGGAAGGGTGCGGGTAAAAGCAGCAAGGCCCCCTCATTTCTAAAAGTTTTCGGTCCCAGAGGGCTTACCCACCTAGGTCTCTATCTTTCCCCCAAAAGGTTGGCTTGGAACGACTGATCACTCCTAAAATCAATCTATTCTTACGAAAGGATGATTTGCCACTATTATAAGTGGCCCCAGGAATATGAATTCTCAAAGTGTTTCCCAAATGATTTTGTAGAATAGTAACATCTTTGGAACACCTTTAGATTCTAGAGAAGTACCTACTCATGTGTATGTCCTTGTTGGGCTCTTTGTTAAAACCCAGGCATATAAAATACTCCGCGAGTTGTCTTCAGTCCGTACCAATGTAGGGGAGCAGGATACTGAATTTCCCGAGGGAAAAGGTGGAAGTTTGGTGTTTAGATCCAGAGAGGGCTCTCTGGAGGCTAAACAAGGCTGCTAACTTCTCTTTTTCCAGCATTCTCATCTTCAAGGATTAGAGGAGCCAGTCAGGTTGCAACCGTTAAGAAAGACATCTAATAATTAGACGACGCGACAAGAAATCAAAATTAGAGCGTGGATCACCACCAGAGTTGGCGAAATATACAGATTATTAGGCCTCACACGACAGAGATTTTGGTGCAGATAGTGCTGAAAAACAGGCTTATTAACTGGCTACCGAAGGTTTACCTTGTAAACACGTTAAGTCTTAAAGATCACGAATTCCCATAAAGTTTAAACGCGGACCAATCTCGTACCGCAGGTGCTTTGTTGCCTGCGGTGGGCATTCTTTGCCCTCAACAAAGATGTTCCTGAATCGCCGTCGCACTGCCCCCGTTCCCGTGCGTGAGCCTCACGTCCGCCCTTCCTCGCGTCACATGACCACGAACTTGCCTCAGCTACGGCTCCTGGCAAGGGCCATTCCAGGCCGTTCTCGCGTCTCTGCCGGCCCGCTGTGGGCCGCTCCGGCCGGTGCTTTCACCGGGCGCCTCCGTGCGCTCGGCCAACGGCCTTTGGGAGCGCCCACCCGAACGCCCCGGGAGTCAGCGGGCGGCGACCCTCGCCGGGGACCCTCCAGAGGGCCCAGGGGTGAGTGCTGATGCCTTCCCAACCCGGGCCCCGGGGCCCGAGCCAGCTTCCCGGCCTGGCGCCGCGGCCGTGACCCTCCGGCCGGCGGAGGGACCCTCGGTGACCCCGGCCCGTTCATAGTGTCGCCTCGAGTCCCGACCCCCCGGGCTCGGCCTTTCCTCCTCCTCGGTCCCTGAGGAGCGCGAGGGAGAGGAGCACACGCTCCTGCGAGCGTTTTCGGGCTAACCTCTCCCTGCCTTTCTAGTTAGAGATCTCATTTTGACAACAAATGGTAGACTTTCCTGGCGAGGAAATAGTTCGGGGGGGGGGAGGGGGAAGGGTGGGAAACATTGGGGGCGTCCTGAGAACTTGAACGCGGAGCTTTGCTGGTGGTCTTCCTCATCCTTCCCGGCCAAGGCCCCGAGGCACCTTTCAGTATGACCTTGAACCAGACGCCTACGGACTATACAGTTTTTTGTTGTTGTTTGTACTTGGTGGAAAATTAACATGTTCTCAGAGGAAAGCCTTGTTGGAAGCAGGTCGGCCTTGGAGGCCCTTTGGTCGAGTCGGTCTGGTAAGCAGCCTTGATCCCAGGTGTGGGTGCTGGGAGTTGCTTCTCAGATTCCCTTCCAGGAGCTGGGAAGCCGGAGGAAAGCCCGAGTGAGTGCCTGTTCCTCGGAGCCTCTGACCTTGGTCTGCAGGGCGAGGCTCCTTGGATGGTACAGGAACATCCCGGGCCGCGTCCTGCGTCGTGAGAGCGAGGGGCGCCCTGGAGGGATGAGGAACCTTTCAAAGTGGTGGCATATTTTGGTCGCAGCAGATAAGAAAAGCCCCAGGGCCTTTGTTCCCAAATGTTGAACCAGTTGTATTCAAGCCTCCCGTCCACTGAGAGACTTGAACTGAAGGACCTTAGATGTGTTCTCTCCCTAGATTAAAAAAAATTTTTTTCCCCTTGTTTCTGTGTTAATTTCATCCGCTAATGAGATCCCAAAAGGAACCTCCTTAGGAAAATGGATTTGGAAAGAATTAGAACGATTTGTTTGTACTCCGTAGACTTTCCCTATATAATTAAATTATGTGTAGGACCTCCTGTCTTTTTTGTTTCAAATGCATGTGAATTGCTGTTGCTGTTCTTTCCAGAAGGAAATTGTGTGTTCTGTCCCTTCCTGTCTGATAGGGTTGCCCCATTGTAGGATTACACAGTTCAGCTGTTGCTTTCCTCCCTTCTGGTGTTGAAACGTGTTTTCTGTGGATGCACGGCCTTACTTTAAAATTTGTTAATTTATGTTTTTCTAAGTGTTCAGTGACGTTTTGTTAAAAACTACAATTAGTCCTTGATCACTACACCCTGATTTGCTAATACATCCATTTTTTTAGTTGCTTGAAAAGAGAACTGAAAACAGGGTGACCTATATAAAAGCCTTGAACTAGATCCACACAATAAGTGATAAAGAACCACTTTTTTTTTTAAATATAATTGGAGAATTGTATAAAGCTTTGCAACCACTATCAATTGACCCAAGTTGTTTCTGTAACTTCGTGGGCTGTTTCTCTGGGTTTCACTGTTCTGATACACAGATTAAAGTCAAGCTTGAATCATTGTGTCCCCAAATTGGGACACTTTCCATGAGTGGGATTTGACTTGATTCTAGGTGGTATGTAAATGATGATTGTTTCAAATAGTTATGTTTTTGTTACATGTATCTATATATGCAACAAATCTCATGGTTTAAAGGAGTTATGTAAAATTTTGTTTTAAAAAGCATTTATTCGGTATTTTTAAAAGTTGAGATAAAAGGCAAAAGGAAGTGTAGATAAGAGAAAAATGTACTGTTTGAATGTGGAAAAAAAACTATGAAATCTGTAAGTTACTTGTTTGGGAAGTACTAGGCTTAGAAGTTAGAGATTGAGATCACCTGTGATTCTAAGAGCGGCTTTGTCTCCTTAGTTCTACAATGGAGAATCGTGTACTGGTTGCTTAGTGATTCTAATGACAGAACCTCAGGAATTAATGTCTTAACTCCAGATGAGAAGTTTATTTTATGTATTGTCAAAACATAATAGCAAACATGCAATAGTCTAATGAAGGAGGGAAAAAAATAGATTCTGATCTAATTAGGACAGTGCAGTGTTAAATCTTAAAGAAGTTCCATTTACTTTTTAAATTTAGGTAGCTCAGATAGGCTACAGGAGAATTTGGCTTTTTCCAGAAGTTGCTTTTCAGTGTCTTTTCAGACCTTGATGATCCAAGTTTGTGATATTTTACAAACTGAGAGATTCTCCGAAGACCAGATGTTGCTATAAAATGAAAGGTTGAGACTCAGTGGGATGTACCAGAGGAAAGTCAGGAAGAAGGCTGAAATGCAATAAAAGGAGTGAGGAGAATAGCACATTTCAGGGAGATAATGTTGTTCTGCTCATCTTTGGCCCTTGCCTATTATTATAAAGCTTCAATTTATAATGTCCCAAGGCTATAACCTTTTTGCGATACCTCTTTTCAGTATCATAGTTGAATATAGGCTTTAACTGTGCCTCACATACGCACAAGAATTGGAAGAGTGTCTCTTCTAGAAAGATGCACAAAAATTGATAATAGAGGTTGACTGTGGAGACCTGGGTGGTTGTAGGATAGGATCTGGTGGGACACTGTATTTTCTCTGTATGTTGTTATGTTTTGTACCATGTGCATATATGACTGGTTCATATGCAAATACTGGATGAAAGTTGTGAATGAAATTAAATAAATATGAAATTAAATTATTGAATGAAAATAGCTGAATGAAAATTTACCAAGTCCACTTGTTCCTCCTTTATATACATGTGTATATGCATTTACACATAATTGTTAAGATTCTTTTATATTTACATACTTTTCTTCTGCCACATCTAAGTTCAAACCAGAAATGATGACAGTTCTTTATTTTATCTTGCATTAACTGATGAATGGTTGTAGGGCCTTGTCTGTGGGACGAAAATTGGTGGTAAGCATGTTAATTTTTTCTTTCATTATTGGTTTCTTAATGTAAGGTTGTATATCTTTGGTGACTTATCACGTAGAGGATTTCCAGTAGTGAGTCCCTAATGTTGGTGTCATGTCGGTTCTGTTAGCTCCTGTTTCTCTCCCCCAGGGACAAAAGTGGCTCCAAATCCAGCACAGGCATATTGAAGCAAGTTAAAGGATTTAATATGAAGTACAGAACCAGATAGTGCCGAATAGCAAGCAGTCATTGGTACACATTTGTGAGTAAAAATTTTGTCTTTTGGCTCCATGTTCTTAGTCTTTAAGCCATCTGCATGCCAGATCCCTAAAGTTCACACATTTCAGAAGCAAGTTAGCAGTCGTAATTAACCGGTTGTCAGAGTTTTGCACCCTAAGTAACCTCCAGGAAGTATCTGAAGCATCTGTCTCATTGAGGTTGGTCAAGGGCAATAACACATCTCTGACATGCAGTGTAGGAAGTATCCCAGGAATGACTGACATTTATGCGGTCTTTCATTTGTATTGCCCTTGGTTTATATATAATATATAATACCTTTTGCTGAAAATTCAGTATAATTTGACTTTTGAAGTCATTTCCTTTTACTTTTAAATTTTTTTTTAACATTTATTCATCTTTTTGAGAGACAGAGACAGAGCATGAGCCTGGGGTGGGGGTGGGGGGGCAGAGAGAGGGAGACACAGAATCCAAAGCAGGCTCCAGGATCCAGGCTGTCAGCACAGAGTCTGATGCGGCACTCGAACCCACAACCGTGAGATCATGACCTGAGCTGAAGTCATCCACTTAAGTGACTAAGCCACCCAGGCGCTCCTGAAGTCATTTCCTTTTAAAGAAACCATTACTTCTGCATCAGTATTTTAAGCCACGTCAAATACATTTACTTCTGACCTTTACATTCTCCTCATGATTTCTTCGTTTGTATTGTACTTGTCCTAAAAAAAGAAAAGGATTCCCCCCCCCCCCGCTTCAGAATATAACGATTAAAGGAGTTTTATGGCAAAATGTTTTTTTTTTAATCTGACTTCACACTTTTCTGTATGTTTGATTCGCTTTATCCTGTTTGCAAAATCATAAAATAGTGTCGGTGCATAAAACCATCTTCATGATTTTTCACATGCAGAACAACTCTGTCTAGGAGACATGTGAAAATTGTTTTTCTAGATCAAGTCTTAGTAGATCATTCTAAGTAGATATGTACTTTTATTCATGGTGTTTTTTTTTTAATATAATGAATTGTTGAAATACTGATCTTTATTCTTTCTTTTTTACAGCTGGGAAAGCAGTGTTCGTGTTGTTATGTTCACCTACAAAAAAGTTCAGATCTGTAGGGGAATTGTGTAAAGTAAACTGAACCACAGGGTAGCAGTATTTTCACAGCTATTCTAGATGTGTGTGTGCTGTATTAAAGATGAGTAAATGAGCAAACTGATACACCTATATGAAGGTCAGTGACACTTCATTCAGTTGAGCTGCGATTTTAGGCTTGAGACATCTTGGCTTTAAAGCTGATCACCGTAGGCTAATCATGCTCTTTTACACGTTTATCAGCACTTTGTATTTGAGGGCAAGTTTCTTTCTTCTGGATTTCCCTGAAGTGTGGGTCCTTCTCTAATTTAGAAGGTTGTTCAATGCATCTATACTGTCTCTCCCCTTAAAGGCATGTTATGCTTTTTAAAAATATGCATGCAAATACAACATTAACTGCAAATTAATGTGACGCTTTGAATCCCCCAAAATGAAGCCTACGTTAAGGATTCCTTACTACATAGTCTGTGTTTGACATTGATTGCGGCTCAGTGGCCAGGTATACGTTCAGTAAGAGCAGTTTTAAACTATATTTTGTGCTTTTTTCAGGGAACTGCGTTTTCTAAAATTAACTGAGAATTAGCCTTATTTATATTATGAATCTGATTGTCATCATTAAAAGGCTTTAATTTTTTCATGCATGATAGCGATTCCTCATTTCATGTTTGGAAAATCCTAGCAGCTTTCCCTCAAATCATTGATTCGGAGATTTTAATTTAAGTTTTCTTTCAGGCACTTTTGAACTATAAGCAGCATGCCTGTCTGTGCAGAGAGAAAGGGAGTGTATATCTGTGCGCGTGTGTGTGTCTGCGTTTGTTTTCATGGTTATGCAGTAATTTAAAAATTTGCTCCGAAACAGTGTTTTCAAGGTGCAAATTCAGCTGATAAAGTGAGAAGGCATTATGTTGAGGAAACCGTTCGCTTCGGTCTTTTGTTTTTCCCTTGAACGTATTCAGTACTCGCAGAAGACAAGGCCCCTCTGCTCTTCCCACAAGGTGTTGTCTTCTGACTTGGCCGCGTGAGGAAGTCTGGCCTTTCAACACTCGGTCACCCCTGTCTTTCAATTCTTGCCCACAGAGTGAGTGGGGCGGCGTTTCCTTCTCCCAGCGCTGCTGAGATGGCGGAAATTAGTCGAATCCAGTATGAAATGGAATACACCGAAGGTATTAGTCAGCAGATGAGGGTCCCGGAAAAATTAAAGGTAGCGCCACCCAATGCTGACCTAGAGCAAGGGTTCCAAGAAGGGGTCCCGAGCGCCAGCGTCATCATGCAGGTTCCAGAGAGGATCGTTGTAGCAGGTATTTTACGTGTGTGTGTAAAGTTGCCTGAGAAAGCTTTGTTTTATATGGTTTCATGGAAGGGGCGCCTGGGTGGCTCAGTCGGTTAAGCTTCTGACTTCAGCTCAGGTCACACTCTGTCTGTGTCTGTCTCTCAAAAATAAATAAAAAACAGGGCGCCCGGGTGGCTTAGTCGGGTAAGCGTCCGACTGACTTTCGCTCAGGTCATGATCTCGCGGTTCGTGAGTTCGAGCCCCGCGTCGGGCTCTGTGCTGACTGCCAGCTCAGAGCCTGGAGCCTGCTTCAGATTCTGTATCTCCCTCTCTCTGACCCTCCCCTGCTCACGCTGTCTCTCTCTCTCTCTCCTAGAAATAAATAAAAATATTTAAATAAATAAATAAATAAATAAAAAACATTAAAAAATGTTAAAAAACAGTATATATTTTTATGAAAGCTTCTGGGTCTTTCAAACTATTATTTAGAAAAGGGGCCGGGAAATACTACTTTACGGGATTTGCAAAATTTCTATTCTAAGAAGCTGAAGCTTCAAATAACATTTTTTAATAATTCAACTAGCGGAGATGTAACTTACATACCTAAAATAACATGTAATTTTCAAGCATACAGCTCGGTGCGTTTGAGCAACGTACACAGTCCTGTAAGTGTCCAGCGCAGTCTGGGCATAGCACATTTTCATTACCCTGAAAGGTTCCCCTTGCCCATCTCCTTTAGTTCCTCCTCCTCAATTCCAGGCAACCATTTTCTCCTTTCTAAAACCACAGACCAGATTTGTTTTCTCTAGAGTTTCATGTAAATGAAATGATACAGTGTATGTTCTCGAGTCTGGCTTTTGCTTAGTGTAATGCTTTTTGAAATTCTTTCGTGTTCTTGAGTGCATCAGTTGCTCATTCCATTTTCTTACTGGGTGACATTCCACTGTGTGATTACACCCCAGTTGTTAATCCAGTCACCTACTACTGATGGAGATCTGGGTTGTTTCCTCTCGGGGACCGTTAGGATTAAAGCTGCTCAGAATATTCACATACAAGACCTCGTGAGGACATGTGTTTTCGTATTCCTAGGAGAGGAAATGCTGGATCATATTGTAAGTTATGTTTAACTTTATGAAAAACTGTCATACGCTGTTTTTGAAACTGATTGGGCTCTGCAATACTCCTGTCAGTGATGTTTGAACATTTTCATTGCCCCACAGCCTTGCCAACGCTTTGTACTGTTAGCCTTTAATTTCAGACATTCTAGGGGGCATGTAGTGGCAGGTAGTCTTTAATAAAACCACTCTTTTTAAAACCTCTTTCTTCTTATTTCTTTACTCCTAGGAAATAACGAAGACATTCCATTTTCAAGACCAGCAGATCTTGACCTTATACAGTCAACTCCCTTTAAACCTCTGGCACTAAAAACGCCGCCTCGTGTACTTACACTAAGTGAAAGACCACTAGATTTTCTGGACTTAGAAAGACCTCCTCCAACCCCTCAAAATGAGGAAGTAAGTAGCGTTTTAATGTGAACTGAATTTGAAATAATCCAGATAAAAGCAAATGGTGAAGAGAATTAAAGGTTGCAAAGCCTGTCAGCAATATGTAATGAACGCCTTCCGTGTGGACCATTGGGTACTCTAAACTGTGGTTCGGAGACACCCCAAGTAAGATATTATGCTATTTTTTAAAATTTAAATGTTATGTTTCAGGAGAATGGAAATTTTTTAGAAATCATTAACGTTCATATGCTCTAAAAGGAAAAGCTTTTTTTTTTTTGGTTTATATATTTTGAGAGAGAGAGAGAGAGAGCGCGCACAACAAGGGAGGGGCAGAGAGAGAGGGAGAGGGAGAGAATCCCAAGCAGTCTCTGTGTTGTCAGCTCAGAGCCGGACCGGGGGCTCAAGCTCACAAACCGTGAGAGCATGACCTGAGCCGAAATTAAGAGTCAGATGCTCAACCCACTGAGCCACCCAGTCGTCCGTAGTGGGAAGAGCTTTTATGGTGAGGTAATATACCTTAAGCGATATAGAAAAAGTTGGGAAGATTAGCATAGAAAATGAGCACATCATTTTGTTACAAAACAAGTCTGGCAAACAAGGAAAGGGAGCTCCTTTTCCCTGGCACTGCCTTCTGTCCCTGCTCGCTGCGACATCTCCACTAAGCTACTATACCTGGTTATGTTAATCGCTGCTGACCTAAATAAGGTGTTAGTAGCAAAGTTCAGATCTTGCCTCTCCCATTGATTCAGGGCCAGTCTTGTAAAATTTCTTTTCTGTGATGATATTTATAGTTGTAGCTTTTATTTATTTTTTTTATTTTTTTATAAATTTTTTAAATGTTTTTTTATTTATTTCTAGGAGAGAGAGAGACGGCATGAGCAGGGGAGGGTCAGAGAGAGAGGGAGTCACAGACTGAAACAGGCTCCAGGCTCTGAGCTGGCAGTCAGCACAGAGCCTGACGCGGGGCTTGAACCCACGAACCACGAGATCATGACCTGAGCGAAAGTCGGACGCTTAACCGACTAAGCCACCCAGGCGCCCCAGTTGTAGCTTTTATATTGTAGCTTCTGAACTTTTGTGTTGTGTAGAAGCTAGTGTGAGGCAATGTGTAAACATACATTTTTATTGATAGTGGCACTGCCTGTGGTCATTTTTCATACTAGTCCTTTCTAATGAGGGTAAAGTATCCATATAACATAGGCGAGTACGGTTCCCTAGTACTGGGCATGGTCTTTTCTTAGGTCGGGAATTTCTCCTGAGGTAACAGAGAGATTATACTCACAGGTACCAGTTTGGACCTCCTAGGTTTTTGCTTGGTGAGAAGCACTAAATTTGAGTGAACACTCAAGGCATTAAGATACTTGTAGAATTGTATATAACAAACATTCTCTGAGCTTCTGTGTGAGACCATTTGCAGAGAGATGTAGTTCCTGCCTAGTGGCATGAGTGAGGGAAAGGCTCCAACCTACGCAGAAGATACAAAGTTCTTAATAGCAAAGAATAATGAAAGGTATGAGTATTGTTGAGACAAAAAGATATCAGTTAGAGGCCCTACTTCCTAGCCCCCCCAAAAGCTCCTAGTGGAAATTACTACAGTGGATGATATTGGCTTGGAGAGACGATTCTACCAGGGGAGAAACCTTCCCTTTAGTACTCTTTGAGTTTTGTTTTCCTTTTGCTCTTTCGGCAATCGCTATTTTAGATACTTACTGCACATTTGGTGACAAATAACTGATCGAAAATAAGTCAGGCACTTTCCTCAGTGATTACTTTTTTTTTTTTTTTAAGTTTATTTATTTTGAGAGAGAGAAAAAGAGCACGCACAAGAGGAGGAGTGGCATAGAGAGAGAGGGAGAGCAGGGGGGGTGGGGTGAGAGAGAAGAATCCCAAGCAGGCTCCGTGCTGTCAGTGCAGAGCCCAGCGTGGGGCTCGAACCCACAAACTATGAGATCATGACCTGAGCCGAAACCGAGAGTCAGATACTTAACTGACTGAGCCATCCAGGCACCCCTGAGTGACTGCTTTTATATTGAAGGAAGAAAAAAAGTTTACCAGGATTGCCCTCAGTAGACCTAGGTTTTAAGACTACATGGCATTTACTCGTGCAATAATTGTGATATTTAGTCAAATGTGATAAATGTCCAAAATGTGTAGCCCTGGAGTGAAAAACTTCAGCTGAGAATTAGACCTACCTTTGAAGGCTGACTTTGCTGCTTACTAATGATGTAATCTTAGATGAGTTATTTCACAATTCCAAGGCCCATCTCTAAAAGAAAGACCAGAACAATGCCAAGTGCATAAGATTATTATGAGAATTAAGTATGCTAACACATGTAGTGTGTTTAGCACATGTTCTAATAATGTTTAAATATTATTGTTATAAAATCAAAATCCTGTAGCAGGCGCCAAATCCCGAGGTGTGAGAGAGGAGTTTGTGAGATTGGTACCAGCTGCCTGTTGAAAGGAAAATAAAGATAATGATCTGTATTTTGAGTCCATAGAAGGGTCAGGCAGCTCTCATGACAGTCAGCCTCTTGACCAGAGGGGAAAGGAGAAAGAACCAGAGTTCTAGCAACTTCTAGAAGATGGATTGAAAGAGGAGTTTAAAGCCCTGAGTGCTGATAACGTTGATGATTCCTTCAGACGCTAGTCACAATCTATCAAGTGAGATTCCCTGAATCATTTACTCTGTAGAAGTCATTTGACAGCACATGCCAAGGTTTCTCAGCCTCTGTACTGTTGATATTTTGGACTGGATAATTCTTTAGGGTGATGAAGGCTATCCTTTCACACTATAGGATGTTCACCAGCATTCTTCATCTTTGTCTGCCAGCTCCCAATGGAATCCTCTGTTGGAGACAAATGGATCCAATAGCCAAAAAGATGGAAATAACCCAAATGTCCATCAAATGATGAATAGATACACCAAATGTGGTATATCCATATAGTAGAATATTAGTCATAAGGAATGAAGTACTTACACGTTGTATGGTATGGATGAACCTTGAAAACCTCATGCTACATCAAAGAAGCCAGACAGGAAAGGCCACATAGTTTATGATTCCACTGACATGAAATATCCAGAAGAGGCAAATCCACAGAGATGGCAGATCACTGGTTGCCAGCGGCTTGGCGGGAAGGGGAATTGGGAATGACTGCTTAATCATTGTAGGGTTTCCTTCTGGGGCAATAAAAGTATTCTGGGACTAGGTAGAGGTGATAGTTGCACATTATGAGTCCATTAAATACACTGTCTTCTAGTTTAAAATGGGGAGTTTTATATTATGTGTACTTTGTCACCATAAAAAGAAAGGAAAAATTATAGTCATTGCCCAATGTCCCCTTGGGGGCAAAATTACCCCCAGTCAATAACCACTGGCCTATGGCAAGAAAGGAGACTATAAGAAGGTGGCTTATAAAGAAGGCTATAGAAACTGTTGTCTAAAATGTCATCTGACAACAAGGAATAAGTTTGCAGAAAGTAACCACTTGAATTCTTAAACTGACTTCTTTTTTTTTTTTTTAATGTTTTATTTATTTCTGAGAGAGAAAGAGAGACAGTGTGAGCAGGGGAGGGTCAGAGAGAGAGGGAGACACAGAATCCAAAGCAGGCTCCAGGCTCTGAGCCAGCCGTCAGCACAGAGCCCGACGCGGGGCTCGAACCCACAAACCATGTGATCATGACCTGAGCTGAAGTCGGACGCTTAACCGACTGAGCCACCCAAGTGCCCCTCTTAAACTGACTTCTTGAAGAATCCAGGGGAGCCCATGGAGGAGGGCTTCACAGTGTGAGGCAGATAATCCCTTAGCACAGATGGGGTTTATAAAATCTGGAGGTGTGGCTGATAGAGAGGAAATTGATGAACTTCTCAATAATCCTGACCTGTTCCAGGACTTCAGAAGCAACTGTAGGACGTGACCCCTGCTTGATGACTCTTCCTGCGAGAAATGAGTAAAGGAACTGAGCAGTAAACTGGTCTGGGTAGCAAACTGCAGAATACCCACGTCATAGCAATTCTGTGTTCTTAGCATCAATTAATTTCAAAGAGAAGGGGCTTTGACACCAACACCCCTTAAAATGGGGTCCAAATGGGAGACAGAGAGGGAAGATCTTCCAGAGAACAAAAAAAAAAATATGAAGAAAATGAGTTGGAAAATAAGATTTGATGCTGCCTTGATGTGTAACCTGGTCAAAGACTTGGACTCCACCAACGTATTCTATCCATCACAGCAATATTCTTTGTAAAGATCAACTCTAGGGGCGCCTGGATGGCTCAGTCAATTAAGCATCCAACTTCAGCTCAGGTCATGATCTCACAGTTTGTGAGTTCGAGCCCATCGGACTCTGTGCTGTCGGCGCCGAGCCTGTTTCAGATTCTCTGTCTCCCTTCTCTCTCTCTGCCCCTCCCCTGTTTGCACATGTGCATGCATGTGCGCGCGCTCTCTCTCAAAAGTAAGCATTAAAAGAAAAGAAAAGGTCAGATGTAATAATTACCAAGAGCTTTGTGAGAAGACCATTGAAGTAGAAAGAGAAAACAGATTGGACTACTGACAGGTAGTAAGAGTTTTTGCCTTAATGGGCAACTCCTAGAAGTAGAAGAATGCCATCCATTTTTTTGTGCTAAATCTTTGCAAAAGCACTAAACCCCAAACATACCCAAGAACTGTCAAGAGTCAGAGAAGCCCTGTAAGAGGCCAATCAGTTGGCCTATATAAACGCTGACCTGGTTTTGGAAAAGACAGTGTTTTCAGGAAAGGAACTGTGTCCAAGCCACGCATGCTTTATTCGAGAAGTCATCAGGTGGCGTCCACAGAATGCCACATTCTACAGCAGCCACATACGATGTGTGCAGCTGGAGCTTGAGGACGAGGAAATATACGTCCAGCCGGAACAGACCTCATCCAGGATTACACTCGCAAGCATCTGCCCTAGAAGCTTTCATGAGGGTTAACACAAAAGCTCTAGGACAGTTAAAATAGCAGGTGGCTATCAGTGCTATATGATGGTCCAATCTAGCTGGACGGACAACCTTGAGGCTGGGAAGCGAAAGAAAGTAGTTGACCTTAAGTGTAATGAGTAACCCAGTCAAATGGGACATCCTAAAACAAAAGAAGAAGGACTCCTAGGCGCTCAGTGAATACTTAAAAGGGTCCTGTATTAGCTCAGAAGCTGTTGATTGTGGGACTGATCACCATTCAGTGGCGGTTTGGTTAGCTTCCTTTTCTTCCCCCTCCTGTGGATAGAAGCCTGGGTCTGAGCAGAATGGAGCAAAAGGGAGAGAAGAGGGAAAAAGCGAGAACAACCTAATTGTATATACATAGATGTGTTCATCCACGGACAGGTCACAGATGTGCATTCACATTCTTTGCACGGCCACTGTTTGTGGCCTTCTTAGCCCAGACATGAGCTGTTCTCTGCTGACACGCATTCCCTGTTCCCTCCCCGGGACCTTCAGTCGCGTCGCAGCTCTTCCCTCCAGCGCTCATTATTTTACCTTTTGGACAGTGAACATGTTTGGGAGGGAGGGATGTTCAGCCCATCTTACAAAGTATTTTCGCCTCTTCCAGTAAAAGTCTTGTGGCAATTCACAGACTCCCGTCTCTGAGCTGTTATTTTAAAACAGAGATCAGTAAAAGGGAAAATACTAAGGCCTCTGAACAGGTTCTTGAAGGGGAGCTCAGCTCTAAATGGACCGAGAAAACCAGCAAACAAAGTCCCAGAGGACATTCATTTATTCATGTGTTCAGAGTTTATAAACACATTAGAGAGAATTTGAAGCCTTACTATCAGGCACAGAAGACCCGGTGACCAAACCTCTCCAGGGAGTTACCTGAAGCTGGGAAGCTACTTTTCAGCTCCAGAAGTGAATACAAGTTTTTATTTTTTTCTCTTGGTTTTTTTTTTTTTTTAATGTTTTATTTATTTCTGAGAGGAAGAGAGAGAGACAGCGTGAGCAGGGGAGGGTCAGAGAGAGAGGGAGATACAGAATCTGAAGCAGGCTCCAGGCTCTGAGCTAGCTGTCAGCACAGAGCCTGACGCGGGGCTCGAACCCATGAACCGTGAGATCATGACCTGAGCCAAAGCCGGACACTTAACCGACTGAGCCACCCAGGCACCCATGAATACAAGTTTTTAAATAGGTAATCAGTGCTAGTTTGTTCTGAATGATGTTTAAAAGCCCTGAATTGTCAATTAGATCTCAATAAAGCTAGAAAAAAAAAAACAAGCCCTAATTTTTAAAAATAAAAACCTTGGATTGAAGAAACGACTACCATGACTGAACTAAGTATGGAAATGTTTAAAAGATAGTGTTCCAAAGTGTCTACACACTTCGGTTAAAATTACAGTATACAGATTGGTCACATCCAAAGGCATAACAAATACATGCTTTTGTGAGAGGTTGCTTTTCTTCCCAATACGGCAGTAATGTTAAGCTTAGGGTTCCTGTTAAGTTCCATTTAAATCAGATTTCAAGTGGTGAAAATAACAGACTTAGGATCCTCTTGTTTCCAGGCTGTGTCAAAATTATAGACATAATTTTTGTGATCTGTCATTTCCTGTCCTGCTTAATCTTAGTTTGTAGGGCGCAGCAGCAGGAAGGGTTCTGATTTAGTAGAAAATCCATCTTGATCCCTGTAACCCGGAAGGGCTGTTCTCTAGGGAAGGGAGGCACAGCCGTGCCGTGGGTGGGAAGGCACATTTCGGCGGGATTCTCACAAATCAACCCAGGACTGCCCACTGCAGATGAAGTATAGTTGGTTGTGGAGATGGGTGGGAGATGGAGATGGATCATGTATATATGATAGATGGCTTTAAACTAATCCTTGTTTTTCGGGTCCCCTCGGTGGCTCGGTTGAGCATCTGACTTCCGCTCAGGTCATGATCTTGTTCACGAGCTTGAGCCACAAGTCAGACTCTGTGCTGAGAGCTTGGAGCCTGCTTTGGATCCTCTGTCCCCCTCTCTCCTGCCCCTCCCCCAGCTCACATTCTTTCTCTCTCTCTCTCTCTCTGTCAAATATATATATATTTTTTATTATTAAAAATTATTTTATTATTAAAAATATATATAAAATAAAGTAATTCTTGCTTTTGGTTTCACTGTAAAGAACTCCTCCAATAGGCTCCACACTGACTCCTTTTCTCTTATTAGAAGTTTTTCCCCCCTATTTTGAGTGGGTAGATGGTTAGTAACCATAACAAAATCTAAACCATTCTCTGAAATTATATACTGCATGTTGTGGTTTTCGGTTTTGTTGGCATGAAATCAGGATTTCATTGAAGGTGCTTGTAACCTGGTTATCTACTCCCAAGTTTTTTAACAAGCATCACTAAGATACTGATTTGTATTTTTTTTTTAATCCTAACTTTCAAGTCCATTGGTTCCCGCACCAATTGTCCTTTACAGTAAAGTTTACCTTTTTTTTTTTTAAAGCATGAAGTTGCCATGGCTGTTTCTAGTTTTAAAAAAAATCCTAAAGAAACAGGAAAGTTAGTGATTACCATTGTTCTATTGCTGTGTGATAAACCACCCTGACTTAAAACAAAGCAAAACAAAAATTTCATTTTACTCCCAGGCTCTGTGCGTTAAGAAGGTGCACCAGGCATCATGGGGAAGGCTTCTTTCCATTTCACCGTGTCTGGGTCTAAGCTAGGAAGTCCTGAGCTAGGGACGGGTCCACAGCGTGTGTCCGTAGTCCTCCGCCCGTTCACTCACACGTCTGTCGATACAGGCTGTTGTCTGGCGCTGAGCTCAGCCAAGGTCATTGACTGGCGAGCCATGGGTAGGGGGCGCCTGGGCACTTTCACACAATGGTGCCGTGGTTCCAAACTTGAACAGCCTAGAGAAGAAAGTCAGAAGCCTTATTGTTGTTTATGATCTAGTCTCAAGCCACGTTGCCTCATCTCTGTAGCAGTCACCAGCCCACCCAATTGAAAGGAAGGGAACATAAATCCTGTCCTTTGATGGAAAGGCTCAGCGATACCTTCTGTCAGAAGAGCACGTGGTGTGGGAGATTGTGGACGTCTCTGGAACGCCAGACCCTTTAAGCTAGTGTTCGCTCTTTTTTTGGTCTAGTGTTTAAATATCCAACCAAATCTGAATGTGTTGTAGCCCCAGAAGCCTGGACCATTTGTTTGTAACACAAGTACATCCCACTTCATATGAAACCCGTGCCTTTAAAACCTGTTGTAAATTGTTCCTAAGTAATAGAAGTGTATTATATAAATGCTAGTAAGTGAAAATATAATCATACCAAGTAAGGTGGACACTTAAATAGAAACCAGAAGTAACTTTTTCATGAGGTAAAGAAGCATCCCTAAGTTTATATGCATTATATATAAGCAGGATTTTGGTTGTTTTTTTTTTTTTTAACCTGGTTTTAATACTCCTGTTTAGCAACAATGCTTGGTTATATGCCCTTTGTCAACTGTCAAGTTTTGTGAATAGCCTTGGACTCAGGTTCTTATGACGCTGACTAGCTCTGCTAGGCTCCTGACCATCTTTTCTACTCCTTTCCGTGTCTTTGTGCCAAACTAACAGATCCGTGCAGCTGGCAGGCTGAAAAGAGAGCGCTCTATGAGCGAGAACGCCGTTCGCCCAAACGGACAGCTGGTCCGAGCCGACTCCATGTGAGTACAGCACCGTTAGAAGGGTGCCCCTTCCTACGTTTCTAACATGCAGTGCCCCGTCTTTTTCTAAATAATTTGCTGCCTTTTTTTTAAACTCCCAAATATGTTTTAAAGATAAGTGTGTATTTTGTACCTAAGAACCTGAGAAAAAGGTAAATAATTTGCTTTTAAGTGTTTGAAATCTGTTTTACATTTACCTCGGTTTTCCATTTCTCGCAGTTGTTTTTATAGCCTTAAAATATGTCGTGAGAGTTTTCCCGTAGCATTCCCCTCTTCTCCATGTACGACAGGATTCTAGAAGTGTGGTTTACTTACTTGGGGAATTGCCTATGAAGTGTACTTAGGAAAAGTTGATAAATGTAAGTGCTCAGTTCTGCGCAGCCCTCAGAAATGGTTACCTGGCATGTATGTCGGAACAAAAAAACAAAAGGAAAACACTTGAAGCAAATGTCTTTATTTTCAAGTTATTCAGTTTGTCGTAAGATTGTGAACTAGCCCTTCCAGCTTGGCTTCTAAAAAAAATTTTTTTTTAATATTCATTTATTTTTGAGAGAGAGCATGAGCAGGAGAGGGGCAGAGAGAGAGGGAAACACAGAATTTGAAGCAGGCTCCAGGCTCTGAGCTGTCAGCACAGAGCCCGATACGGGGCTCGAACTCAGCAGCCATCAGATCATGACCGGAGCTGAAGTCAGACTCCCCACCAACTAAGCTCCCCAAGCGCCCCATTCTGCTTCTAATGAGCCGTGGTAACCAGTGTAGCATAGGCAAGCGGAATTGCTTTACTTCCCAGGATTATTGTTTAGTTCTCTGCCTACTGAGTCATCAAATTGTTAGATCCATTTCATTTTCTAAAACTACAAGTACATTGTTTACAGGGCTATATGTAAACTTTTCATTCTCATTTCGTTACGTTACTATCCTCTGATCAAAGCTACTCCACTCTAAGATGTTTTAGATCAGGCAGATGGTTTTTTCACATAAAATATTCCCTTAAAATCTGTTCAGAATTTTAAGTCCCAAACCATTGGTGATTGTGGCTTTTTTAAATAGATGATTTAGGTTGTTTATGTAAATTAAGGTATCTTCTTTACATTTTTGGTCAGTTTTTATGAACTCATTGTTCATGAACCACATTCCATGCCAAGCATCATGTTAGCTTCTGTGGGAATTGCAGCACAGTCAGGAGATGGGACTTCTCTCTCAGAGTTTGCCAACCTGGATAAAAGCAAAACACTTAAATGTACACACAGAAAATGAGGGCACAGTACAATATACATTTGTATGAAACCACATCAAGGTGTAGTTTGGCGCTGACTGAAGAATAAAAGACCCACAACGGGCTCGGGTAGTGTAGGAACTTTCCTCTCCTGTGTGAGGCGCAGGGGAGAATTAGATGTGCTCTGATGGCGTGGGGAATCTTAACATGTGTCCTAACGTAGCTATAGTTACTTTGAAGGGTTTTGGAGGTAGACAGTAAACTGAAATGAATATCTGTCTTCCTCAGGAGATACTTCCTGAAAAGTTCAACCATGAATATGAAATTTTTCATGATAATTATGTTTCCCTGAAGATACAGGGCTGGCAGTGGTGTTACCTGGTCCATGAAACCCATTTTCGTAGTGCATTTCCGAATATATTACACAAATGGTAAAAAGGCTACATAGCTTATGGCTAAGATAGCTTCTTGAGATTTAGTGCCCCATCAGGAAGATTAAGCATGCAGCTAAGGGCTTTTGTCGTTTTCTACTTGTAACATTTTTCAAGGCAGCAAAGGTTTCTGATAAACTTTTCTGTCATGTGAGGATGTGGCTGATTATTTAGGTCTTTTTTTTTTTAAAGAATTTTTTTAATGTTTATTTTTGAGAGAGAGAGAGAGACAGAGACAGAGCATGAGCAGGGGAGGGGCAGAAAAAGAGGGAGACACAGAATCTGAAGCAGGCTCCAGGCTCTGAACTGTTAGTACAGAGCCCGATGCAAGGCTTGAACTGGTGAACTGCGAGATCTTGACCTGAGCCACGGTCAGACACTTAACCGACTGAGCCACCCAGGTGCCCAGGTCTTTAATTACTTTGAAATTTCACATTAGTGAGATAAAAAACAGGAGTGTTTTAGTATAGCATCACTTTTTTTTTTCCTCCACAAAATGTGTAATTATTGGTAGCTGAGTTTGGATGAAGAGAAAGGAAACAGCTTTATGTAGGAAAACCAGCCTAGAGATATAATTTAAAGTATACTTTAGAGTAGATAATTCATTCACAGGTATTTTGGCAGTTACCTAAGTTCCTCGTAACAGAGAAGATTAACAGAGTTAACTAATACTTGCTTTCTTTTTGTGTTTAAGTTGCCTTAATGGCACTTTCTAGATGTTTAATAAAACAAAAAAATGTTTTAATGTTTAGTAGTAAAGATAACATTTAACTATACATTTTGATGGTGAAATTCTTAGATTACTTAACCATACATTTTTGTTACAGTAATTATGTATATCACCATAAGCATTTTTTTTTAAAGAGAACTGTTTTAAAAAACATTTATTTTGAGAGAGAGCGAGAGAGGGGGCAGAGAGAGAGAGAACCCCAAGCATGCTCTGTGCTGTCAGCGCAGAGCCCCATGCAAAGCTCCATGTCATGAACCATTAGATCATGACCTGAGCTGCAATCAGGAGTCAGATGCTTCACCATCTGAGCCACCCAGGCACCCCTACTTAAGCATCCCTTTGTTAATAGTGTAACCTTGCTTTTTCTTCCCCTACCATTATTTATTTCAAAACTTATAATTGAATTCATCCTTAAGACTTGCCATTTAATTAACATTAGGAATTTTATGTAATGAGCATTGTCATATATTTGGTGTGGATGATGTGGTAAGGAAGAAATTGTTAATTTAGCATAAAACAGCAATATTTTACTTCCACTAAAGTGATTATTAAATTCTTGCTGTCTTTACCTATTCAGTCTCCTCTTTGTAATGTAATTGTGTTTCATTGTGCATGAATCTTTGCCTGCCCCCACTTTATTTTATTCCTTGGCTTCAAGAGTAAAAGTACATGTAAACGTAGAAGCAGAAACACTGGCCTTCGTTTTCTTAATTGCTTTCAAGAGACAGTAGAATTGATTATGGTCAGCTATTGATACAAAAACGAATTCTGACCATTAGACTTGTATCTAACTGTTTCTTTGTGTTATGAAAGCTGAATATGTAAAAGAAGCATAATTATTATTTAAGGTGGCACAGATCATATTCTGCCCCAAGAAAAAAAATTCCAAGGTTCCACGCACCGATTTCTGCACCGGAGTACACGTAAGATTTTCTCTGCTCTGCTTTTCACCGCTAGGAGTTGTTTTCCTTTTACAGGCTTACGTTGGTTGTACTAATAATTCACCAAGTAATTATCATATAAAACCCTAATGCTCTCACTGTTTGGCTTCTCAGTTCCTCGGTTTTAGGATTTCTCAAACTGCCCTTATACATTTTGTTGAGAAAAGAAAAACAAAGGAAAATTAGACCAATTAAGGAAGTTATGGTATACTTTGGAGCATAATGGTGAAAGTAAAATGGAATAATTTGCGCCTAAGGACCAAGCCTCCTTTTTTATTTTTCTTATCTTGCTTTTCGTTTGGCATATTAGTTCTGTACAGATTCAACCTAACAAGGTACACCGATCCCAACCTTTTTTCAGTTTTAGCACCCTATCTTTTTCTTGCTTTATTTTGATCCAGAAGGAGGAATCTAAGAGTGGTTTGTCATTTAAGGTTTTTTTTCTTAATTCCATAGATTAAAATTATGCTTGGAAGAATGTTTTGAGATCCTTTAAACCCACTCTTTCTGTAAGTGTGACGAAAGAAGGTTTGGGAGTTACTGACCTCTCGTGGGAATATTTCCATGTGTAATACAGGACACTTCCGTGTGTAGTACAGGACACTTCCGTGTGTAGTACAGGAACTCAGCAGCTAATGCAGTTCATAAGCAACAGGAATCACCCTGGCAACCAGTGATTTTTTTCTTATTCTGGTTCTTATATTATGCTTCTAGGAACCAATAAATTGCCTTAGACAGTGGCAACAAGTTAAGGTTTTCTATTTAAAATTTCAAGAGAAGTGGTACAAACTCTGTGTTTCCATGAACATTTTTTCTCCCCCTTTTCACAATTTTACTTTTTACTGTTTTCTGGAAGAGGTTGGAGCCTCACCAAAGAGGTTACCCTCACAGTTTGAGAAATGTTATTCCTGTGAAAATCCGAAAGAGGTACTTGGCTTTGGCCTTAATCTCGTCATAATGACATGGTTTTGCCAAGTAAATTTGCATTTAAATTTTGGTTCTGACATTGGCTAGTGTTGTTTACTTCACCTTCATGTAGTAAGATTTCATATAGGCTTGAGGTAGAGCTATTCCTGATGAAGTTGTATCGTAAACATCAGAGCTTTCTTCAAAATTTCCTAATCTTTTATAAAAAAAGTCAAGACTTTGCTGTTTTATAACGTTGCTAGGAATCAGTTTATTATCAACGTACAATTTTATTAAATTACTAATAAGATAACATTTGCTGAAGTAATCCCAGTGCCTTGGCAATATGTTTACTCTTTTGCTTTCATGGTAGTTCACTCGTCAAAACAAAAAGCCACCACACCTTGGTTGGGTGGATGAGCAGGCAGAGCAGACAGAAACATCGTAAAAGCACTATTTCCCCCACAGCTGGTGCCAGTTGGTGGACATGCTAGCCAGCATCAGGCTGATTGCTAAAGTGGGCCTTTTTTGTTCTTAATTTTATTTATTTATAAAACTCTTTTTTGTTCTTAAATTTATTTATTTATAAAACAAAAACAGAATAACTTGCAGGGCTGCTTGAATCTTTAAAAAAGAAAACATTGCTGAAGTGTCCATTGCTTCTAATTAAGGTTAACTTTGGTCATTTTGTGACTTCCTCATTTGGTGCAGCTGTAGATGGAAATAAATGTTAACAATCAAGGGCATTTCATCTATACATGTACTGCCATATACATATCTGTACATATAACACTTTTAAAAATAGTTCCTATTCTGTTTTAAAGGATTACCATATAAATACTGAAGAGCTAAATTTCTTACTAATCTCTGAAACTTTAATTTCTTTTAAACAACCAGAAGTCCAAATATGCCTTTGATGTTGGTCTTTGATAAAATAAATATCTTTACTACTATCGATAAAGACTTAATTTCTTCTTTTTCTCCATAAAATATTCTTTCCTATTAAGTTACAGTTAAGGATCATGTAAGTTTTTTTCATTTTTGATCACATTCCAATTTTCATATTATCATGCATAGAATCTTAGAAGAGATCTTACAGACTTTTTCATTAAAATTTTAAAGTATATTTATCATATATTTATTTTGAGAGAGAGCGTTGTGCACTTGTATGTGAGCAGGGATTTAAGGACAGAGAGAGAATCCCAAGCAGGCCCTGCTCCGTCCGTGCAGAGCCCGATGCAGGGCTTGATCCCACGAACCGTGCGATCATGACCTGAGCCGCAATCCAAGAGTGGATACTTAACTGCCTGAGCCACCCAGGTGCCCCTAGATGGTTTCAGAACTCAGCCTTCTGTCCATTCCCTGCTAAGAATTCTTTGCAGTTATCCTGAAATTAGTTTACGCTTGGCTCCTTTATAATTTACCACCTCATCTCCTGTGTATGAACAGGAGACGCTTGTCCATGTAGAACTTTACACAAACAGTGCCTGTTATTTGCTCCTGACAAACTTCTTTCTCTCAAAGGAAGTAGCCCTTCTTTAATTTTCAGTGAACAAAAAAAAAAATCCATCATACTATTTTCATGGATTTGCTTTTAGTTTATTGACCTTATTGCTCTAGGATTACAGTTCTAAATAGTGATTATTACAGATTTTAACACATGAGTGTGTAGCTGACTTATTTACTAATACAGAATGATATGTGAAGTGTTTAAGCCCTGAAATGCTAAGACGGAAACCTTAATTACATGAAAATACGGAGCTGATCAGCCTTTCACAGCTCGCCTACATAAATTTGGCCAAGTTTGTTGGCAGGAAGAGTACAAGGTGGATTGTTTGTTTCTGGTAACGCATAACTGGCCATTTTTATTCCTGCCACTGGTGACACTTTTCTGACAGGAATTCAGTCTGCTGTCTCACAAACAGCGAGAACTTCTGGTTTTCCCTGTGCTCCCTAAAGAGAACTCTGAGGACAAAGCCAGTACCTAGACTTTGTATCGCAGATAATACTCCTTTTTTTTTCTTATTCTTCTTGGATGCTCAATATGGGTTTTGCCAAGGACCATGGGTCCGTTGGTAAAGTTGGCTTATTATATATAGTCCAGAATCTCAGGACAGATGTTCAGGGCAGTCGTCCATGAGCCTGCACCTGAAAATTTGCTCTTATCTTGGCAGCATTAGGCCAGATTCCCATAGCGAATCAGCCCTGATAGATTCATTTCTCAATATGCCTCGATTTGGCTTAGATCTTTCTCTTCTAAGTAGTCTTTGGAAAACATGGTTTTCATATTTGTAATAGTTTTTGCTTTGGGTCACTAAGACATTCAAAGTTATTCACAAAAGTGTGGATTTTGTTTTTAATAAAGTTCTTATTTTTTTAAGTTGATTATTTTTGAGAGAAAGTGCACAAGCAGGGGGAGGGGCAGAGAGAGAGAGTTTGTCCCCAGCAGGCTTCATGCTGCCAGCACAGAGCCCGATGCGGGGCTCGAACTCACGAACCTGTGAGGTCATGACCTGAGCCAAGATCAAGAGTCAGACACCTAACCAACTGAGCCACCCAGACGCCCCTGTTTTCAAGGCTTTTAATGTTCTAGGGACTCTGGGGATAATGTTACATGTTGGTCCTTTTAACAATTGTCCCACTTATGCTGTGATTTCCAAACAAAATGCATGTTAAGTTAGAAAAGAGAACAGAAGTCAAAATAAAAGATTTTTCTCCTTTCACTTGTTTACTGTCTGCTCCCCGTTTCATTCTTTTGGATGAAATACACCAGGGTGAGGTTTAGCCCAAGGTGTTTTGCCCTGACGCTGAGAAAAAGCATTGAGCCCACACCCCAGGGTCACAGCCCTTTGGTCGCAGCAGAGCCTCTTCACGTAACAAACCAGATGCCAAGTCCTGGTGTCACTTGAATACCTCACACAGCTGATCACGCCCCAACATTAAACAGCTCTCTGAAAATACGCCAAGCTCAGGACTCAATGCTAGGACCGTAAAATGACTTCCTTCAAATACGTTCCACTTTTAAGAAGCCCTGGTAGTGGAGCCAAAGAAATTGTGACTCAGCTTACACCTGAAGGAAGGAGGAAGATTATCGTCACCCGGGAGCCCAGAAATGGTAGCTTCACATCCATCCGGGTCATTTAAGAACCGTCTTTCCTCTCTGTTCACTCTGCACAGAATCAGGAGTCGTTTCATGTTTTAGTCATTGAGCTAGAGAACACGTGCTTTCATAGAATGTTTAATATAATGAAGCTATCAAAATGCGTTTGTTACCGCCTTCTGAAACTTTTAATTCCTCTTTAGTTTACGCACCAGTTTAGTTCACTTCGTTGTCCCTGCGAAAGATTTGGACTGGCGTTTTCAGGGGATGACTCTCAATTCGTGGGTTTGAGCCCTGACACCTGTGTACCCGAACTGTGTGTCCTAATCTTCTCACCACCCCTAAGTCACAGGGCGGTGCTGGTTGTTAGGTGTTTGACTTGCTGGACGGGAATACGTAACAGCGACTAAGGAATGCTGCTTCTCCAAAGCTCGGCGTTGAACACGCTGCTCGCCGTGGCTCCCTCTTCCCGCTGCACAGCTGTCCCCCGTATTCAGTTTGTTCAGTTCGATGTGTAAGGCTCCACGGTCACAGACGTGGCATGGCAGCTGGTTTTTTGAAAACAATTTAATATGTTTATAAACTCGTCTGACGGTTTCCCTGGGGGGGGGGAAGGGGAGGGGGGAAAGGGACGAGAAAACTAAGATAATGTTTAAGCTGCTAAGTGTTTGGGGAAACTGATCAGCTGAAGTGTTATGAGAGTCTGACCTGCGTGTTTTTCTCTTCACTTGCTGTGCTCGCATAAACAGTGTGACACCGACGCCCCAGCAGGTCCGGGCCTGTCTTCCCCAAACGTTACCTGAAGATGGAGCTAATCTTTCCTCTGCTCGAGGCATTTTGTCGCTTATCCAGTCTTCCACTCGTAGGGCTTACCAGCAGATCTTGGATGTGCTGGATGAAAATCGCAGGTGACTGGCCATCCGTGACTCTCGCCGGCTGTATTGCTTTTTTTTTCTTTTTTTTTTTTTGGCTCCTTGTTAGTGGACTGTGGTGTCTTCCTTTTGTGTTTGCACCTTCGTCTCTTTCTAAGATGCAGTGGTTTTAAAACAACTTGCTTTGCTTTCTTTTCGATTGAAATGATTGTCCAAAATTCACATTTCACAAGATGCTGTTAGCTTCTCTTCACTCAGGGAGAGGGTTCAGTTAGTAACTAGAAACAGGAAGTATAATGATTTTTTTTCCCCAAGGCTCTGTTGACCTGTTTTAAGTACTTGACTCCCCGGGACCAGGCTGAGGCATACTGGTGACGCTGGTGGGTGGAGTGTAGGATGCCGATTTTCTTCAGTAAGTCTTTTGATTGACTCATTTATGAGACTAATATGGTTGGGTTACTGAAGCCAATCTGACCAGACAGTAGCAGTGTAGCCTTTAGGATACGTTTTTGCTTTCCTTTTAGCTAGGGATTACTGGGCCTATGTTGAACACCCCAAATGCTGTTGTCTTTTTGATAATAGTGATATTTTTCAGTATTGATAAGGTTTCTCACTTTCGAACATCTCCAAGGAAAATCATAAGCAGTACACTTAGGCTTGCTCGTACTGATTTTTTCTTGCCATTATTTCAGATAGTTTTTGCCCTTGCTTCTTTACGTCATAGTATTTTTAAAAGACAACATTTGGGGAGCTTTTTGGCACAGTGTGAGAGAGGTATAGTCCATTTCCTTTCAACTGCAAGCATTTTACCGAGTGACTCTGTGAGTCACTGTTCAAACTTTCATGGACGTTTTAGTAGACGGTTGACTTTTGAAGACTTCCCGGCAAATCAAGCTGGACCTTCCAGTAAACCTTGTTTCTTACCTTAGGAACTGACATGTCTTATGGCTCACTCCAAACAGACGTTCTTGTGGACTGCTTCTGATGCTGACGCAAGACTCGGGTTTTACTATACTTCAAGAGCACTTGTCCATACCATCGACTGGTGTGTCTAAGCCTGCCCCGGGTTAATGTAGCCGTATACATTTGGGCCCAGGGGCTTAAAGCTGCACCAGAAAGAGCTTAAAAGAGAAAGCCCATAGCAGGGGAAAATTATACATACATACATGTATGGACATGTATATTCATGTATATGTATGTTTGTGTGTGTATGCGTATACATCTACATCCCTCTCTCCAAAGGTTTAGAGAGCTGTCTTAGACTGTTTGGAGCACAGTTCAGAAGAAAATGCATGGATTGAGGGGGCCAGCCAGGTTCAGTGTTGACCCACCCCACTGAATAGCTAGCTGCTTGGTGGCCTTGGGCAAATTGTTCAGCTTCTCTGGGCCTCATTATCTTCATCTATTAAAAAAAAAAGGGGGGGGGGGCAGGGCAACAATAGTATTATGGAATTTTCTAGATTTTTGTGAGGACTTTTCCCCTACCACCACCATCTTTATTTAAGATATAAGTAATAATGGCCTCAAATCCTTTATTTAGTATCGTGGTAAATCCTTCAAAAGGTATTGAGTATAAAGTATCTGGCATTTAAGAATGGATATTCCGAAAGGCCTGTTTTCTCCTCCATCCTTAAAATAGATTTATTCTTCACCAGGTATCCTCTTTCACTTTTTAAATACAGTAGGTCCTTAGAAGAGACCAGATTATAAGGTCAAATTATATCATATCAAATGCTATTAACAAGGCAAGTAGCTGAATGAGGAAGATATTTATAAATCCTACATAGATTAAATAATTGTGACTTCACAAAGCAGTCCTTGCCCATAATGGAAAAGAATTTTGCCTCAAGTTCAAAAATACAAAATCAGAAATCTTAACTAATGTAGAATTTACTTTGTATTCTTTTGTTACAAAAAACTGTATTGAGCCCTAAGTGCAGTTCTGGTCATTAGTGTTTTAATTATAATAAATTGATAGCTTTAAAATCCATTGTTTCTGGAAAGGAATTATCTTATTCACTTAAATGAGATTTTAAAAATTCATAAAGTAATTGTATTAATAATTTTTTGTTCCCAGATACATACCATTAGTAGTTACCTTGGAGCCTGGAGGGTTAGATTCTTATTAGTCTTATTGGATACTTCCATTATTGAAAGGGTGTTTTTTCCCTTGTCTTTGTTTTTAAATTGCATTTCAATCTCTTATGATCTAAAAGTTGAACAAGATTTAATCAGAATTGTAAGTACCAAATCAGTTTTTATTTCTACAAGAGAACTATCTGGCATGATTTTGCAGATATAAAAAGTAGGAATGTGAAATTTGGATAATGTCCTACTTGCATGATTATTACAATAATACTGCTTATAAAGTTGTAAGTGCCTTTATGTTCCTTGCTCTGTACATCATTTTCTCCTTTCTATTTTATTACTCTTTGGTGGTTATGCTCATGTAATATGCTGTCTCTGGTCTTATGCCCTCACCATATGTACTCTTAAATTAAGCTAGAACTATTTAGCAGAAAGAAAGAGAGAAAGGAATTTCCTGCCTGCCTTATCATCAGTAAGCCAATGCAGATTCACAGTTGCTTCCTGGAAGAACCATTTTCGGTTACACTCTAAGGAACACTATGGGAAGGTTTATGTGCTATGTTTGTGTTTTCTCATCTGATGAGAACTCATTTGATTTAAAACCAAGCTCAGCATGAAGACAAAGTCAAATCCTTGATACACATGGGTCAGTACTATGCATTTGGAAAATTGATGTATCAGAAAGTTACCCAAACACCTGAGATAGGTGTGTTCTTTGGACTTAAAACGCTCTTCTGGTTTAGTCCTTCGCTGGTCTAACACCTGTGTCTCCTGAGCTTTGCCAAAGCTTCGTGTTCCGTCCCTCATTGCACAATAGTTACATTTAAAAAAAGAAACATTAATTCTCCGGTAAGAACATTAATTTAAATATCATTAGTCATGCTTACCGTGCTTAAGGCTTATTTTTAGAAGGGGCTTGATCGTTTTTATACAGTTTTCCTTGAGATTATATTGGCTTTGAGCAAATAGAACATGAAACCAGTGTGTTTTAATTTGTATTTGTATTTTTGCAAGTATGCCTATAAATATATTACTGTTTATTTACTGCAGCAGTTACCTTTTTTTTTTTTTTTTTTACAAAAGAAACATGTTTTATTAAATCAGACCATTCATTTACTCAAAAATGTCAATATACAAGTTAATGCTAGAAGTTGGGGAGCCTTGGCTCTCCTTCCCCTTTGCCTCTTTAGTTACAAAATAGTATTGTTGAACATGTTGTCGGGCTTAAAAAGATTTCTTTTAATGTATTAAGTCATACTTATGGTAGAAACTGGTACTTGAATGAAGTTTCTAACTTTGCCAAATACCTGTCTAATTTACTTTTATATTATATGTGTCAATTGCCAGTGTGAGAAGACAAAATGAAATACGTTGTGAAAGGTAACTGTACTATTTTCTGGCTCTGCATTACAGGAGGGAACTCTCTGGTGGCTCATGGTGGCCATGGCAGGTCCAAATTGAAACGTACTACTGTGAATTTTTGAATAAAAGCTTTAAGTAGCAACCCAGCAGTGGCTTCCCTGACGTAACCATTCTCAGATGAGCGTGTATTGCAGTGGAGGACGTTTCCCTAATGCCACAGAATAATCATAGGAGCAGAACAGGATGATTCATAAACCTGCTTCAGGCATACGTGCTTTCTACTGTTCTTTAGCCAGCACAGTAGAAGTCTACCATCTCCCCGAGATGGAACCCCTTATCCTGTAGGCTCCCGAAATTTCTTTAAGCACCGGCAGTGCCTTTAGGAAACGTACAAGCTAAACATGAAAATTGTCTTGTGTAAATTAACTGGACAGAAAATAGCGATTCGTATTGCAGCCAAAGTTTTACAACAGGACCAAAGTTTTAAAACCTAGTTCTTTAGATATGAAAGGCTTACTATAATAAAGTGTCGCCTTGATACATAAATTCAGGCAGCACCTGATCAGTACTTAGACAAATGAGACACTTAAAATAGAAGGTAATTTTAATTCTTAAAATCCTTCTCTGTACCCCATAGCTCAGCCTCCTTCCTCTGGTTAGTACATACTGGCGGCTGCTTTTTGGGGGAATTGACCAGAAACCACAGAGAGTTTTTGTCTTCTGAATTTGAAAAATGAACTGTATTAGAAAGGTTACTGCCCAGCTCAGGAGAGAACTAACTGTCCAAAGTACGTCCCGAGGCTGACGACAGTCCCCACCAAGTTTCCCAGTTTCCCGTGTCCTCTGATTCCCAGCTGCCCTGGGTGTCGCCGCTGGTTGTGCCTCCAGAGGACCCACCATTGGGCGGTATCTCTGTGCCACAGCACATCCCGCAGAGACGCCCTCTGATGGCCTCAGCTCCAGAGCCTAGGCTTGCAGTTTTGCATCTGGGAACCGAGGTTTGAATGAGATGCAACTCCAGTAAGATACGGGGCGTGAGTCCACTGAGTGAGGCGGGGGCGGGGGGCGGGGGGCCAGGAGCCGTGGGAAACGACAGTTGCTTGGGCTGCGACACCACGCAGGCAGCCATGGTCACGCAGGCGCTACCAGCCCGTTCTCCACACGCTTGCCAGGCTGCTGGTGATCTTTTCTTTCCAACGAGAAAAGAGAAATTACACTTCTTAGACCGAGTTGTCCTCTCTCTTGAATTTCATAAATTAAAATATAAGCACCATAAATTAAAATATTAAAATTATTTTATGTGGGTGCTCTCTCGTCATGCCCGACTCCTTCACTTTCTTAACCTGCGGTGAAACATTACATTTGTGAAAATCAAAATGGAGGGCATGTGGTACAAAGATTTTTAAAGTATTTGAAAGATATTATATTGTATCGCAACATACAATATAATCCTATTTGACATTTTTTTGTCTTGTTTTTGCTTTTATTTTGTCACTTCCTCTGTCTCCTGATTCTGTCTTGTGCCTTCTCCCGCAAAAACCTGCCTTAGACCTGTGTTGCGTGGTGGGTCCGCCGCCGCCACTTCTAATCCTCATCATGACAACGTCAGGTAAATTTCGAGACTTCGTAATTATCAGGCTAAGCACTTGACTGAATTTGTTTTTTGCATGTAGTAGCCACGCCTTTAGCTTGAACTTCTCTGGGTTTCCTCTCTGGGTACACGCTGGCTTCTCTCTGAGAACACTGAGTCTACAATCATTCAGGACATTTGCCTCCCGGAGGAGGAAGAAAAGTGCTTGGCAGCTAAGGTACCATGTGCACATCTGAGATTAGTTTATTTAAATACAGTCTCAGTAGCTTATTGACGATCATACTGAAACACAGAACAAGTCGTCTGAAGTCTGGTTTTATGTGCCTCATTTTCATTGTTGCCTGAGGTTCTGTCTCCCATTTCCCTTTTTAGTTAACTGTCTGGAGTGGCCCTTTCCGTGCACAGATAAACCTGTGTATAAGGCATCGTCTTAAATTGGGGGAGATCAGCATTGACAATCTAGACAGTTAAGCGTTTAGAAAGGAATTTAGTTTGAGGAGTTTCTGTCATTAGACATGCTTAGCCTGAGTAATTATTTCTTCCTGTCGTGCACAAGCACAGACAGAATGGCACGTACGAACGCTTAAGGTTCTGAAGTGCCCAAATCCCCATTTCCCAGCTTCTGGGGACAAGAAAATTGGTTGGTATTCACTGATATCATTCAGTGTAACTTTTTCGGAGCTAATTTTGCTCATTTTAAGCAGAAATGTATTGCCCGTGGCAGTAGAGTTAAAACTGTCAGCATTATTTCTATGATGAGAGGAATCTGACATGTTGATTTTTAGGCAAGGGAAGAGGGAAACATCAGTTTCTTAATAGTGCTGAATTCAGGTTAGAGAAATTGAAGAGTGTGTCCTTAGTGGTCCCTTCCCCTCTGCTCACTGGTTTCTTTCACACTATCAGTTCAGCCCATTGTAAGGTAACTACCTTGTATATTTACTATCCTTTGTGTTCCCTTGTATATCTTTAGTTTGTGATCGTTTCCTCTTTCCACGAAAGAACTTTCAGGCTGTGAGCTGACTTAACATTTCTTACAGAGTTTTTAGTTCTGATAAATAGAACTTCTGATAAATAGAACATGCTTTTTTCTGTTGTAAGTTGGATTATGTAGGCAAAGCCTTTTGGCAGACCCTTAGATTTCTTTACAAATGAAGATTTCCTTTCCAGGTGTTTAACACCTTATTTAATGCAGGATTTAAATGAGTAATTCCTGTCACTTATACTTCATTCTCTGTGTTCAGTCTGGGGTTCCTTTAACTTTGAAGCCATTGCTTCTTTTTTTTCCTCCAGTTAAAAAATTTTTTTAATGTTTATGTATTTTTGAGAGAAACAGAGAGCAGGGGAAGGGCAAAGAGAGGGAGACACAGAATCCAAAGCAGGCTCCAGGCTCTGAGCTGTCAGCACAAAGCCCGACACGGGGCTCAAACTCATGAACCATGAGATCATACCTGAGCCGAAGTCAGATGCTTAACTGACTCAGCCACCCAGGTGCCCCGAAGAAAAGTTTTATTTTGAAGCATAGAGAAAATGGATCTTCAACCCCTGTTTTTCCCTCCAGTCGTATAATAATTCTGTCTTAATGCTCAAAAGAATAATGAAGTCAGATGTTTATAAACCCATAGTTCTACTCACATAGAAGCTTACTTCTCAGATGCAGTTACTCTCAGTATGGGTGTATATCTCCTTTTCAATGAAGAAAGGAGTGTGAAATGAGAAAGCAAGTTCATTTAGTGATAAAAGGAACATGTAGAGATTGTTCTAGGTTATCTAGAGTCGGTACGCACCATCAGCCATCGAAACTGCCACATGTATAGTTATCAGCCGTGTTCAGAATGACGACCCTGGCTGGGAACACAATGAATGATTATAAAATAAAGACTCCTGCTCCACATACTTTATTAAATTATTTGTGGATTATTTTCAACAGCGTATGAAACAGGATTTTCTGAATAGACTTGTCTTTAACGTGTCCAGATGAAAACTATAATTCTCTTCATGCCCTTTCGTGCGGTAATGAGCTTTTTGTAACGGGGACTTGCTTCAAAGATTAGAATAGTGTGATCCATGTGCCAACTCTCTCTGGACGACAGAGGAGTGACTTTAATTCAATTTATTTATCTTCTGCTCAATTCAGGAAAGTTACTATGCCATTTTAGTGAAATAGCCACCCAGGATTAAAATAGTGAGGCTATAAACATGTGAGGTGAATTGTATGGTATGTAAATTATATCTCAGTTAAGCTGTAAATTAAAATAAGCTTAAGAAGTGGAAATCCAGGCAAAGGGGAAGCATAGCATTTGTGTGTATTTGCTTCTCAGAGGTTTACTGCCAGGCATTTAAAACTCAGTGCTCTTTTAGAAATAACCCTGTTTGCAAAAGAGGTATCTTTTAATGTGCTTTCCCTGGGGTGGTTCTTCGTGGCTTTCCAGTATTATTTTATACACAGCCTCTTAAGGACTTATCTTTGAGCCAGTTCTGGATCTGAGTGTAGTGACAGGATGTCCTCAGGCGATTTTATAATTGTGTCCGTGGGAGACACAGTAGAGAACAGGTAACTGGAAATAAGTAGAGAGTAGAAATGTCAAGAGAAGAGGCAATGAGCAGAGGAGAAGAAATACAAAAAAAAAAAAAAAAAGTCTGTTATTTTTTTTTAGCTAGAGTTAGTTTACTGTGTGTTCCCTGCCAGCAAACCTCAGCAGGGACTCCTGAGGAACCGCATCTGGACAGAAGTTTGTGGAAGAATTACGCATTGTGGCAGCCCAGAGGGGCAGCTCTTAAATCATTGCTCAAAATGGGTTCGCGTTTTCCTCTGCTTTCCTTTGTTAGCACCAATTCAGATGGTAAAATGTTGTAGTAATTCCTATAGTTACATGTCAGTCTTCTGATCAGTTCTTTGAGCGTTGCCCAACACGTGATGTGACTTGCCCAGAACCTTAGTTCTCCTCTAACACTAAACTGCATTTTTATCTCTCACCTGCTAGGCATGGCCTGTCACATATAGATGCAACGATTGAGGGAACTTCGGACGACATGACTGTTGTAGATGCAGCTTCGTTAAGACGACAGGTATTTAATGTACCAGACAAGACAGAACCTTAAATTACATCCATACAAAATGTCAATGATCATTTTTCTTAACATTTTATCGTGTTCGCTCCTGTGAAATTTTATTTCTTAAGCTGTTTTTAATAAGCCACAATTGACTTTTCCATTTGGATTCAAGATAGGTTAAACCACCATTTACCCATTTTAACCAGCGTAGAATGGTGTTACCAAAATGGATTAGTACAATTCTGGCCACTAACACAAACTCTTGGCATTTTACAAACCAGTGTAGCCATCTGGTTTGACTTTCTGAAACGTGGAACAGCCACTCTGGGGATGTGTGTTATGACGTTTGGGAGTTCCATTCTGGAAATCACTGCTTCCCGTCTGCACGGCGTGTCTGTAAACGCATTTCTCGTGTTCTGTCTCGAGTCCTAGCACAGAGCTACAGGGCATTTGCACATTTCCGGTACACAGTCCCGCCTCCTCTAGACTCAGACACACACGTGGAGAAGGCGTGGTCAGTGTTGAAATTGTGTCTGTGCCGAATAGATGTAGAGGAGACATGAATGAAATAAAGTATTTCTAAGATCAAGAAACTAAATATTTTAGTGTAAGAATCGTTATCATTTTAAAGATTTAATATAAGGAGAATATGAAACAAATACTGCTTTTTTATCTCGCGTCTCACTTATTTAAAAAATGGATGCCGTATCAGAAGCTGTCACGTATATTTGTTTATACAAGCAAGGGAGTTTCCGTGGCATTTTGTCATTGAATTCACAGTCACGCCAACAACCTTGCTTTCTGAGACTATAACAGGAGCTTCAGAGTTTTAACAGCATCCATTCGGTCCTTAGCTTAGAGGCTGAACTCGTAGAAGACAAAGATAGGGTCGTGGTAAGCAGGTCACCCGCGTCCCGTGAGAATTCAAAAGTAGTAGGAAGCCAGGTGGGAAGCCGAGTTTCTGAGAGCAGTCGCAAGCACCGTATCATGAGAAGATTCTGCAGAATTCACTTGTGTGACCCTGGCAGCAGGGGAAGCCCCTTCGCCCCGTTGCCCACTTGGACACCCACCAGCCTGCGCTCCCTCTCATCCAGGGACGGGGAGCTCATGGGCTGCCTGGCTTCAAGATAGAAAATGTCATCCCCTCTCAATATTAAGAAGCAGCCTTGCTGTTGCTGCTGCTCACATGGGCCCAGATAAAAATACTGTAACGACTCAAGATCAATGCCCGCTTTTTTTCATTGACCATAAAATGAGTCATTTAGCGGACAAACAGAGCAAACCGTGGGACCAGATAAGCCCCTCTCATTGCGAGTGGTTGGGGAAAGGTAATTAACTTTAAGCACTTTATGTATTCATTTATTTATTTTTATTTACTGGCCCTAAGAGTGAAACGGTTGCTCAGCACTGATTAAAAAGTGAGGTCCCTTTCCAGGTTGTGAAAATGGTTCTCTGCACCGCTGTCCGTCGACGCCCATTGCCGGCACCCGCCCCCCAGTTTGGAGTTCTCAGTCCTCAAGATGCTAAGGATTCCACATTGTGTGACAGTCTCTTCCTTCACCTTCTCTGACATAAGGACAGTAATCCCGTAGGGCATTCACAGTGCTCTCTGGAGCGCATTGTGTTTTTCCGTAGGCGTCGCAGGTCGGTCCCCCCAGAAAGCAGATTCTGGGGTGCAGGTGCGCACAGAAGCCTGCCGGGGCGTGCACCCGCAGTTTCCCACTGCTTGGGAGGGAGAGGAGGCAGGATGGATGGGGCACGAAGGAACTGGGGGCTGCACGTGGCCAGCCTCACCAGGAGCCTGAAGCTGGGTGCAGGGGGGCCTGGGCCTCGAAACCCATGATGAACCGGTTACTGGACACACGCTGCCACCCCAGGAAGGAGCGTGCACTTGGGCAGGGCGGTCATCAGGCCCAGGGCTGTCCGCAGCGGGCACCAGCAGCTGAGGGCATTGCCTGTCAACAAGTGGCACTCCGCCTCGGAGCTGGAGAATTCCTAGCCCTTCGGCCCTGGAGGGTTGAGGGGTCAGAGGGAGGTCAAGGCTGTTCTGTGAGATCCCGTCAGTAACTCGGGGGGGGCACGGAAGGCAGTTAGAGATGAACAACTGGGGCCGAGGGACAGAAGCGAGTCCGCCCGCCCGAGCGTCTGCTTGGCCTTCCCTGTCCAAATAGCCGTCCACCTGCAGCCGCTTCCTCGCTCACGTTTCATCGAGGAAGGAAGGAAAATACACCCTCTTCTGACTCAGAAATTTGGGGAAGGGAAAGGGAGAAGATCATGTCGGAACTTAAGCCGTCGTGGGTGACATGTTGTTGGTATAGGGTTCATCTTTTCAACAAGTGAAACTTTTCATGTTGATAGTTCTTTTGACGAGTCACTGTTTCCTAAGCCTCTAATTGCCCCTTGCACTAAAGCTTCTATTTTGTTTGTTGTCGTTGTCTGTTTTTCACTCAGATAATCAAACTAAATAGACGGCTACAGCTTCTAGAAGAGGAGAACAAAGAGCGCGCGAAGAGAGAAATGGTCATGTATTCAATCACCGTAGCATTCTGGCTGCTTAACAGCTGGCTCTGGTTCCGCCGCTAGAGGTCACCCCAGCTCTCGAAAGTTCAGTCTCCACAGCTGGAAATATAAAGAATTTGCAAACTTCTTTGTTTCTGTCTTTGCATCGTATGCCGTTTTATAGCCCCTGCCCTGACCGTGTATTTCTTCCAGAAAGGAGGGGGGGCAGGACTGACCCTTGCAGAAGTAAAGGTGCGTTCTCCCCCCTCAGCTGGTTCCGCATAACACTCGCCCCCCCCCCCCCCAGATTCTCCCTTTGCATGTTTTGTAAATAGGCTCCAGTTTGTTTTGTTTTTTGTTTGTTTGTTTGTTTGTTTTAAGGGAATTCAGTTTTGCCTCATCGGTCCGCACAATGATTTCTCCGAATGGGAAAGAGAGTGCATAGTGAATGGATTTAGAAAAGCACCTGTAAAAGAAGACCAGTCCTTTATTTTGTCCTGGTTTCTCAAACACGATTAGATGAAAACAGTTTTGTTAATAGACGTTTTTGCATCCACACTTCAGCGTTCACGCTTCGGTAGTCGTGGTCTGGCATCAGGTTTAATGAAGTCAAGGCATCTTCCAGTCACCTTCATGAAAAGAATTCCTGGCGTTCCCAGCAGTTTATCTGATATGTGTGTAAACTGTGCGTTCTTATTTTAGTTTTGCAGATGGTTTTCTATAAAGTATGTTTTTACTAAGCCCCTGTGCGAATGATTTAAAAACCACAGAATAAGGTACAAATGTAGTGTATTTAATAAACTGTCAACTAAAGCAACGGTTGTCTGTCAGAAAGTTTTATTTCATCACGCTATGCTGTGAGCTGTGTTCCGTATCATATTACCGTTAATGAACATGACCCTTCTCGCCTCCGGAGAAGGAAATGCAGGTAATGGCTTGGCAGGCGGCAAGGACCTCCCCGTGCGTCCATGCAGGTCCCTGTCCCCACAGCACGAGGCTGTAAGCCATAGTCTCTGTAAAGCGGTTCAGATGAAAACAGCTTGAGTTGTGTCTGCTTCTTCCATTGCGGTGTCTAGCCAAGATACACAATCTCAGGGGATTTAAAAGCACCAGTGAAACTAAATCCTGGAACCTCGTAGCTCTCCAAATTTTTCGCTCCAGAACGTTCCTGTTTTGCGTTCAGAAACAGATAGGATTTGATTTAGATGTGGTGCTCTCCACACATCTTCAGTATCTTTCTACCCAGGCCATCAATTTCAGGAAAGGCAGTTGAAGGAAATGCCTTAGATAGGTGTATTTAATGTTTGTGTTCTTGCTTCTCCCCCATCCTCCCAAAATAAAATAGCTGGGTCGGGGTGCCTAGGTAGCTCAGTCAGTTAAGCGTCTGACTCTGATTTTGGCTCTGGTCACTCTGGTCATGATCTTGTGGTTCGTGAGTTCGAGCCCCACACTGGGCTGTCTGCACTGACAGTGTAAGCCTGCTTGGGATTGTCTGTCTCCCTCTCTCTATATCCCTGCCTCTCTGTCTCTCTCTCTCTCATAAATAAACACTTAAAACAAACAAACAAAGATAGTTGGAGAAAGGATTCTTCTTAGAATTTATCATGAGTTTGATGACAAGTTTTTTTTTAACCTATGAAAATCTTCTGACTTTTATAATAAATAGCCTATTGATATGATTATATTAATTCTAGCTCTGGTGTGTGTGTGTGTGTGTGTGTGTGTGTGTGTGTGTGTGTGTATCACAAGGTAACTTCTGAGTGATCCTCCCAATTGAAACCACAAAAACGATGGATAAAATTAATACTTCTTTGGCTGGACAGGCATGAAAAGAATTCTGCTAGGGCCAAAAATGAAATGAAAGCAGGCATTCCAGGATATAAACACAAAAGCTGCCACCCCACCCTCTACCCCGTTGATTTTTACCAAATCCTGGAGACCTAGAACTTTCTCCTTTAATGGCTGAGCAGGGGGAAAGAGGTGCAGCTCCGTATCTTGGACAGGGGATTCCTGCATGAAGCTGGGACCTCAAAAGACAACCCCCCCCCACCCCGGGAAAACAGGAAACCAACTTACCATCCAGTCTTCACCTCATCACAGATCTAAAAAGATAGAAATCTCTTGAATCTCTCGCTCCACAGCCAAGCTGTGTTACGCCAGCCTCCCTCGCCTGGAGGTGGTTCATCTCTGCAAGAAGGTGGTTTTGGAGTTGAAAGGAACAAATCCATTCCTGGTCAGGATGGTCAAGAAATACTTCTCAGATATTTAAGCTGAACCTTGAAACACATACATATGCACATAGTGATTTCAACAAGCAGAGAATGAAGAAAGGATTCGTGGTGCAGGGAAAGTGGCAGAAGGAAGACGGTGGTCGGGGCCAGGCGTAGGGAGGAGCCCCCCGCGCCCCACGGCGAGTGCAACACCTGCCTTCAGAGCTCTACTCAAAGATGGGGGCTGAGATTTTTCCCTACTTCCAGGAATCCTTGTTGAAGCAGTCGCAGGTTAGTTACACTTTGAGGGAAAATTTTATGAAAATGTGTTTGTGAGAGAGCTGTCCTTGCTTGAATGAATGTCTGTTTTCTAGCTTCTTAATTACATTTGATCCTGAAATTGCACTGTTTTCCTGGGCCTCACATTCAGGAAGGTTTCATTACCGTAACTGCTGTTTACTTACACGTTACTGTGTCACTTGCGCGCCACCCTGATCCCTGCGGTAAGCGAAGATGACATATAGGACACAAGCCCTGACCATCCGTAAGGAGTTGACAGTCTCGTGGAGAAGGAGTGGAGAAGGGCTCAGTAAAGAATTAGAGGATTCTAAAAGGAATTTATGGAGGGGCAGCTGGGTGCTCAGTTGGTTAAGCGTCTGACTTGATTTCCACTCGGGTCGCAATCTCATGGTTCGTGAGTTCGAGGCCCACATCTGGCTCTGCCGTGGGAACACGGAGCCTGCTTGGGATTCTGTCCCCCACTCTCTGCCCCTCCCCTACTTGTGCTCTCTTTCTCTCTCTCTCTAAATAAATATAAAAAATAAAATGATTTTATTGAGGAGGAGGAATTTGGGATATATACTTAAGGATACGGAGAGGAGAGAGTACCTCGAATGGTGGACACAGCAAAAAAATGAAAGTTTAAAGATTCCAAAACAAGATTGAGCACGGAGTGGAAGTGAAAAAGAAGAGTGAGCTTTGTAAGTTATTAGCTCTGTGTGTGTGTGTACACAGACATGCATTTGTAAGTGTAGGTACCAGAGCAGAGATGACATGTCCCCAGAAGATACATAACCACAGGTGGCCTTTGGCTGTAGGCATTTAATCCAAGGCAGTAGGTCCCGCAAGACTAATAGCTATTGCTACTGCCAACCATGCTTTCTTTTGTTCTCAAATGGGAGGCTTAAGTCTCTGTGTCTTCGTGACCCTGGAGAGCTAGGGTCATCTCACCCATTTCCAGCGTGACGAGAGGATTGTGTGCACCGTCACTGACCCTCGTACTGTTCAGTCCAGGCCAGTGAGCAGTCATGTTCATTTTACTTGTGTTCTAAGTTTATGGCAGTTAGCAGTTTGACATTCATTCAGTAAGCATTGACTCCCACTAAAAGCTGAGTGCAAAAGAATAGGATTCATTAATTCACTCAAGAAAATATTTATAATTGCCCCACTGTGTATCAGGCACTGTACTTGCTATCGAGTATACCGGGAGTGAATAAAAGAGACGTATCCCGGTATTCCTGGGGCTTACTGTCTTCTGGGGGGAGAGTGAAATTTAAGAGACCAGCACAAGTAAACGTGCTGTTGCCATGGTGATGAGTACTGTCAGTGACGAATGCAAAAAGGGAGAGTCAAAGGAAATCTTCATTAGGTGGTTAGGGAAGGCCCCTGAGAAAAAGTCGGTGGCCGTGCTGAAGTCTGAAGAATGAAGAGGATGCGGCCAGAGATGATATGAGTGGGCGCTGGGGGCTGGGCCGAAGCGAGGAAGAGCTAATGAATAAGTGATTGAGAATGACACGGTTGCTGTTCTCTTACATTTTCTGGTGGGAATGGGCACACAACATTTGTGTTCCATTGTGACAGGTATGACGATGACCATGGTTTGGGTAAGTGCTGATGTGGTTGGAATCCTGCGCCCTGGCAAGGCTTTCTCGAGTAGGAGATCCTAAAGCCAGACCTTAACGACAAATAAGAATATGTGGGGACACGGGGAGAGAGTCATTATGCAGCAGATAGAATCGGAAAGAAATGCCTGTGTGTTCTCAATGTTACCGATTGGGGGTGGAGACAGTTATAATATAGGTAATGAAAATTATTTCTAGAACCTTAAGCCCAGTAAACATAAATAATTGAAATAAAATGCAGTAATAATCGCATTCAGAAATTGGATTTTTAGTTTTATCTATCTTACAACATTTTAATATGCTAAATGCATGGTTTTGTTATCCTGTCTCTTAAAGATTGGTATACATAGAAAGCAGCTTTCGAAAGGCTGGGTGCTTTTCTAGGCATTTATTTTCAATTGTGAAAGAGTGCAAACAGGAAAATAGAAGAGAGTAATGGATTGCAATATACCTGTCACCTAAATATAACAATTAACATTTTTCCGTTGCTTCATTTTTTTGGCTGAAGTATTTTAAAAACATGACATTTCCTCCCAAACATGTAAATATACATTTCTTTAAAAGTAACATTCACGGCGGCACCTGGGTGGCTCTGTCAGTTAAGCATCTGACTCTGGCACAGGTCATGATCTCACAGCTCGGGAGTTCGAGCCCCATGCCGGGCTCTGTGCCGACAGCTCAGAGCCTGGAGCCTGTTTTGGATTCTGAGTCTCCCTCTCTCTCTCTCTCTCTGCCCCTCCCCTGCTTTCTCTCTCTCTCTCTCTCTCTCTCAAAATATAAATAAACATTTAAAAGTAGGAACATTCATGTAAATACACGTTTCTTTTAAAATAATATTTTCCTATATAACCGTAAAACATTGTCAGGCCTAAAAATATTAGCAATAATTGTTTAACATCACCGAAACCAATTCTAGTTTATTTATGTATCCATCTACGTATCTGTTTTTTTAATGTTTATTTGTTTTGAGAGAGAGAGAACATGAGTAGGAGAGGGCTCAAGAGAGGGGGGAGAGAGAATCCCAAGCAGGCGGTCAGCACAGAGCCTGGCTTGGGGCTCCATGTCACGAACGTGAGATTATGACCCAAGCTGAAATCAGGAGTGGAAGGCTTAACCAACTGCACCACCCAGGTGCCCCCTATTTATTTTTTTAAGTAATCTCTACCCCCAACCTGAGTCTCAAACTCACAATCGCAAGATAAAGAGTCGCGCGTGCTCACCACCTGAGCCCTCCAGGCATCGCCCCCCAAACCACTCATTGTACAGGTCTCCCCAGTTACCCCCAACGGAGTCCACATGGTGCATCTCATTGAATGTCTCTTAATCTGCAGTAGTTCCCTCACATCCCACTTTTTACTCTCCCACATGTTTTCTTGTTGAAAACGGGGCTCTTGTCCGTTTAATGCCCCACCTCTGGGGTTCGTCTGAGTGTGTCCCCTTCCCCATACTGTAAGCTAGAAATTAGGTCTGAAAACATTCAGGTTATCTATTTCTCCTCCTTCTTCCTCTTCTTCTTCTTCTTCTTCTTCTTCTTCTTCTTGTTTTTAAATTTTAAGTATAAAGAAATACAATTTAAAAAGTTCCATAATTTCACTTCCAGGATGACTTCCGTTCCTGTCCTGCCTCCCCAGGCCCCTTCCCCTTTCCCCTCACCCCCTTCTCCCTCCATAGGCAAGAACATAGAACTTAAAAAGTCAAATAGTACAGAAGGCCAGAAGCCAGGAAACAAACTGGAAGCTTCTCTCCACCTTTTCTCCAAGCCCACCACTAATGATTGCTTCCTCTTTGTATGTGAAAGTCTGATTTTTTTTTTTTTAATCACCTCAAAGGTGACTTTTGGCCTAAAAAGGCTCCTGCAGCTTTGTGGACAGTGTTCCACTACTGAACTTCTGAAAGAGGGTCTTTTATTTATTTATGTTTTTTATTTTTTTAATGTTTTATTTATTTTTGAGAGAGAGAGAGAGAGAGAGAGAGAGGCAGCATGAGCAGGGGAGGGTCAGAGAGAGAGGGAGACAAGGATTCCGAAACAGGCTCCAGGCTCTGAGCTGTCAGCACAGAGCCTGACACGGGGCTCGAACCCACGAACCGTGAGATCATGACCTGAGCCGAAGTCGGACGCTCAACCAACTGAACCACCCAGGCGCCCCTGAAAGAGTGTCTTTTAAACGCAGCCCTCAGGTGATTCAAACATTCCCACGCGATTGCCACGAAACTACACAATCCTACTTCTCCGCTTCGTGACTCCACACAGACAGCCCAGAAGACCGATGGCCATCTGACTGAGCCCAAACAGGACCTCGAGAATCCCTACAATCAGTAGGCCCAGGAACACTGATAAATGGATCGTCCTGTGTTTGTTTTCTTTAGAGTTGAAGTGAAAGCCAGAGTGCCTCCCGTTACTGGCGGTGCTACTGCTGATGGTGGGATCACTGACATCAGAAGCAGCCACGCAGGTTTCCCTGAAGAACCACTGAAGATTGATGGGTTCCGGATGGATGTCGCTGAAATGCAAGAAACAATAGTATATATTCAGGAATATCACTTACCACGAAGAAAGAATGCAGCATGGTGCATTTTATTACACTCGCAGAAAAGGATGGGTATAATACAACACAAGTACTTGGAAATACTGGACCAAGAGACTGTAGCTAAGTTCAAGGTTTCTGATCACATGTCCATGTACCCTGATAGCTACAAAACTTTCACTGATTATATAGCCCATCATTCGACTGGCTTTTCTTTCTTTCTTTTTTTTTTTTTTAACTTTTTTTTAATGTTTTATTTATTTCCGAGAGAGAGAGAGAAACTTTGAGCAGGCGAGGGTCAGAAAGAGAAGGAGACACAGAATGTGAAGCAGGCTCCAGGCTCTGAGCTAGTGTCAGCACAGAGCCCGATGCAGGGCTCGAACCCAGGAACTGTGAGACCATGACCTGAGCCGAAGTTGGAAGCTTAACCAACTGAGGCACCAGCCACTCTCTCTCCTTTTTTCTTTTTTTAACTTTTTAAATGTTTGTTTAATTTTGAGACAGAGAGAAACAGAGCATGAGCAGGGGAGGGGCAGAGAGACAGGGAGACAGAATCCAAAGCAGGCTCCAGGCTCTCAGCAGTTAGCACAGAGCCTGACGCGGGGCTCAAACTTGTCAACCGCAAGATCATGACCTGAGGCAAAGTCGGACGCTCAACCCACTGAGCCACCCAGGTGCCCCTCATCTGGCTTTTCTATAGCAACTGTTCTTAGTTTGAGCCATATGAAATTTTGTATGTCAGAAATGGTTACATATTCATGCCATGTGGTTCACCCTAATTATATAGCATTCTTCTACTTGCTAAAGACATGCAAATTAAGGAGGCACCTCTTCCACAGAGCTCAGCCCTTAGTACCAAATTGTAGTTTTGTATCTGTTCTTAGACGAGATGTGCAACTTCTGCTGACAAAAGGCACATTCAGTATGTCTGATTACGATCCGTGCCCACTGTAACCAGGTCTGGAAAATGAGAGCTTCTAGTTCTAACGCTATCTACCCTAAGATGGTGTTTCTCAGTTTACTGCAGACTAAAGCTAAGTGTTCTAAGAAAGTTTGCATTTCTGGATGCCAGCAGCATTTATCCTGGGAAGATGACAGTATTTTCAGCATGTAGAATAGGAATGTGCTTTCTGCAGTTTGCCAGCAAGCGTAGGATCATTCTTGTAACTGTTTACTCTCTGTAACTGTCTGTGTCCCCAACTAGAGTGGCTCTTAGCTCCAGAGCTTAGCCTGGTGCGTGGTGAGTTGTCATCTCCTAAGGGACTGAGTGTGTACAGCATGTGTACTTACAGCCTCTTATTTTAAACTTCAGATCTATTAGGAAAGGAAATTTTTTTTTTTTAATTTTGATTCACAGCAAGTGCAGTATGCAAATTTTGAAAGGTTTTTATTTTTTTTAAAAAAATTTTTTTACTGTTTATTTTTGAGAGAGAGAGAGTGCAAGAAGGGGAGGGGTAAAGAAAGAGAGAGGGAGACACAGAATCTGAAGCAAGCTGCAGGCTCTGAGCTGTCAGCACAGAGCCCGACGTGGGGCTCGAACTCATGAACTGCGAGCTCGTGACCTGAGCCGAAGTTGGGCGCGCCCCCTGGAGATTTTTATTTTTTAATGTAGCAGGATAAAAGGAAAGGAGGGAGAAATTTTTTACACATAACTGCAAAAGTGAATTCTGATTATTTTCCACATTGAGGAACATAGAGATAACTGATGGGTTAGATTGTTCTGTTCTTCTAGTTCTACATATTCATTGCCTAGATTTGGGTGCAGAACCATCGTACAAGAGTGAAATGAGCCATTTACAAGCAGCTGTTCAGTGCTGTGACTATAGGAGTTAAACCTGATTCATTCCCATGCCTACAGTGTATTTATAGTAAATGCATGAATCTATTGACTGCTTTTGTTTCTTTTAGCGCTTGTAAGTGAGGTTCTAGATTTTATGTATCATGCTTTTATTCAACTTTTTAAACATTAAAGGAACATACACTTAGGACTTAGAAGTTTAGTCATCTCAGAAGCGTAGAAAGTCATTGCTCCCTTCACTTCCCCAGGATGTATTCCATTACATTCTCGAAGGATCAAGTTTCTGAAGATAATGGTTCCTACATTTCCATGGGGTTGTGCCAATTGGGGCTAATGTGCTAAATCCCTAAGTGTGTGTGTCCCGGCCATTCCATCAGAGAACATCATGGCAGCACCACACTATTGTCATGTAACTAGCTACAGCACGTAAGACAATCCCTGAAAATCTGGGGACTCACCTTAGGTTATTGAATGAAAATTCACAACTGGAAGTGCTGTTTGCAACTTGCGAGTTACAAATGAGAGGCCCTTCTGAGAGAGCCTGTAGAGATACCAGCATGCAGTACACGGCACCGATGACTGTGATTACATTCAGAAGTGACGACAGAAGCATCTGAAAAATAAAGGAGGCACCGATTGGCATATGTTCTTACATGTTCGTTCCAGGTCTGTTTCAAGTCTCAGCATCACGTGCAGGCTTCTGATCACCTGCCGCTGTTCACTGCTCACCCAGCAGCCCCAGGTCTTAAGATCTCTGTTTGATTAGGTCTGAATTGTAAAAGAACAAAGAGGGCGAAGTCCCTGCCGTTTGATTAGACTCACAAAAAGTTTGCTGGGCTTGCCAGTGTCTCTGGAAAAGGTGTGCCTTATCCATTTCAAGAGACCACTGAAATCTGGTACCTCCTCCTCCTTCTGTGTAATCCCCACTTCACAGAACCTCAACTAGATTTTTTTTTTAACATTGATTTATTTTTGAGAGACAGAGGCAGAGCACAAGTGGGGGAGGAGCAGATAGAGAGGGAGACACAGAACTGGAAGCAGGCTCCAGACTCTGAGCTGCCAGCACAGAGCCCGACGCAGGGCTCAAACCCATGAACCATGAGATCATGACCTGAGCCGAAGTCGGACGCTTAACTGACTGAGCCACCCAGGCGCCCCTCGACTAGATCTGAAGCACACACATTTTGGTGTCTGGTCTCCTGACTCCCAAATCTTTCATCCAGATTTGGCCCTTCATTCCACAGGGATCGGTCAACAGTGGAGTGTTAGAATTAGGTTTCTCAACCTCAGCGCTGTGGACATTTGGCCAATTTGTTCTGGGAACTTTCCTGTACCTGTTTGAAAGCATCGCTGGTCTCTACCCACTAGAAACCAGTGGCAGTCCCCCTCCAACCTGACTCCAAGTTGTTGACAACCAAAAGTGTCCTGGACATTGGTGAAGGTCCCCTTGGCAGGGACAGAACTGCCCCCGTTGGAGAACCATGCTGTGTTCAAGACAAAGATGATAAGCCTTTAAGCATCTTTCATTTCATGAATGAGAGAGAAAGCAGAAAAAAAGTGTGCAATCTGCCAGTAGGAAATGTTAGTGCCCAAATGAAGGTTTGTATAGGTCTATGTTTTCCAAAAAGAAGCTCTGTGTTGTTTCAGTGAAGTTGGTAATCAGTGATAATTATGACTTAAAATCTGCGGAGATGAAGGGAAGGAATCCATGTCCTTTTCCTTTGATGTGATAGTGCTGCCACTCTTAGAGGATTTAGGAGACCTGCCTTTAATGTGTAGGCAGAATAAGTGGCTACCTATATAGTATATGTTGTGGGGTGTTGGGCTTTACATATATTATCTCATTTAACTCAAATAATCCCAAGAGATAGATACTATTATTCTCACTTTATGGATGAGAAAACTATAACTCAAGGAGGTTGGTGAGCTTGTCAGGCACTCATGGAAATGCTAGTGCTCGGGTTTTAATCATGACACCAAAATTCTTCCAACCGAAAGGACAGAATGATGGATTTGGAGTCTAAAAATCCAGATCCTTCTGTTCTACTGTGGCCTGTGTAAGATGCTTAACTTGCTCATCAAGAAATGTACTATCGCTGTTTTGGCCATTTATTATTTCTGACTCCTCATCACTACAAAGGGGCCTGGCTTTAGAAAAGTGATTTTGGGCATCTGAATTTGCCCGAGTCGGGGGTTCGTTTAAATGACTCAGCCAAACCGAAACATCTGGAAACAAAATCAAGAAGTGGACAAAGGAGCAGGAAACAGTTAAAGTGGGCCAAATAGTAGGAACAGTTAATACAGAGGACAAGCCTTGGTGACCCCAGCTCCCACCCCAAGATCTAGCCTTTATCACCTTTATGATGCTCTGCTCTTTTCTCGACTCGGAAGATACGCGGTATGACTTAAAAACACCAGTCTTCCCATAGCTGCCACCAAGTGAGAAAAGTGTCTAGGAGCACTTTATTGCATCTAATCAATATAAACTGGAAATTTTAATTAAGTAGCCAGCCACTGTTGTTAATAGAACATGAGCTGTATTACTGTATTATACAACACCCCCCCCCCCCCAACCACCACCATGGCCTTGGCACTCCAGACTTCCTGTAGCTCCTTAGCACATAATGATCTGTAATGTTGCTGAAGCAGGATTTCTAGTGATTTTCAAGTGGGGGTAGGGGGGTGGGGGGGAGCAAAGCCTGGTGCGTTAAGCCCTACACCTGTGTTGAAAGGTGTCTCGGTTTTTTCATCTCACTGTCCTCCAAGGACAAAGAAAACTTAAATGATCATTGAAAAGATGACTCACTTGCCATTAAAGGATACGATTCTTAATAGAGATATGATTCGACAGAAAAATCTATAGGAGTGTTCTGACATTTTGGCGTTCAGAGATTTAGAAAGATCTCAAGATGTCTTTCTCAAGAACATAAGTACAATATAAAGGTGATACAAAGTCAAACTGCAAATTATACTTTCAAAAATACCAGAGAGGGGAAACTGAAGCCTAACATTTACTGAATACCTATAGTGTATCAGGAACAAAGATGGACCATAAACAATTAGAAAATAATTACAATCCTAGATAAATATCCCATGTCAGAAAAAGTTAATTTTTAAAAGTATAAATTTCCTGTTATGGATATAAATATGTAATACAGATATAGATATGTATGGTTTTAAACACTGGTTTTCACCCCCGGGACCACAATTAGAATCACCTAGGGTGCTTTTGAAACATACTTTCGGGGAGCCAGTCATTCTGGTGGATGATTCTAATGTTCTCCTAAGGCTAAGTTTCATTGCTTTAAAACCTTCATCTCAGCCAGGAATATTTACTGTGACTTGTTGTTTATTGATTGACCCCCTTCCTTAGAGATTATTGAAAGCCCTCAGTGTTACTTAATAACAATGGTCATGGCATAAGTAGTGTAAAGATTGTGAATTTTGGAGTCCGATGGATTTGGATACAAATTCACCTGCTTAGCTGTGCCACACTGACAAATTATTTGCTGTCTCTGGGGATCAGTTTCTCAGTCAATGAAACAGATCGTACTATTATCCACTCAGTGCCTTTGAGAGAATTTAAATAAGATTGTATAGTTGGAAGTTTTCTGAGCCCAATAACAGAAGATTAATAAATATTAACTTCCTTTACTTTTAACTTAGTTACAATATCATATATAATAGGTACATACTACACATTTGAGAAAATAACCCATTATCTTCTTTACACCGGATAAGGACAAATCTCCTGATCGTAGCAAACCAACGCTTCACAGAACTGAGGATACCTTTCCCTGAAGTATTTTATACACGCCATAAAAAATAACCAATAATTGAGACTCATGAAGTCGATTGCAGCTCTGAGTGTGACTTACAAATCCCCTTTCTTTAAAACTGTTAGTGACAACTGGAGATTGAGGAAAGGTCTGAAGACTGACTCCAAAGCTAAATTTTTATGGGGGGGGGGACGGGGAGAAAAGCTTCACACTTTCCGTATTACCACGTGATCATTATAAATGGCCCGCTTTTATAATGTGGTCCTGCCTCAGACAGTTCGGGAAGCTCTGCTGATGTATAAGTAGCAGTTCGTGTGCTTTGGCTCCAGGCCAACGGTACTATACTCACCCCAATCCTGTTGTTACAGCATGCTCTCTTTCTTGCTGCCAAGGACATTGTTGTTGCTGGAACAGCCTGGAAATCACACCAACGGGAAAGATGAGCATTATGACTGCTCATCACATGCAGAAGCTGTAATCCCCACCTCCCACCAAGTTGTGGGAAATCAAGTCTCATGAGAACAAATGGGGAAATTTGGCAATATCTCCTGATCTTGTGCACTTCGGGGTCCCCATTTCAGCCACAAAGATGGCAGAAGGGGAGGGATGGGGGAGTCTAGGATAACGGCTTCAAACTCTCCCATCTACATTCTGGCTCTACTCTGTCTTTGGGAGACTTGGATTTTCAATGGATTAGAAGGAGTTATTTATCTATTATTCTCGAAGGCATGTTTCTGAAAGAATTTTTCGCACCGTCCAAAATTCCCTTTTCTTTTTCTTTTTCTTCTTCTTCTTTTTTTAAGTTACTATAATCTACAACCACTTACCCAATTTCCCAAAAATTGCATCATTTAATCTGGCAAGCATCCAGAAAGGAAATTGTTGGGAACAGTTGGGAACTAAGAATTCTGTCACCACCCTCTCCCACTTCCTACGTTTCCTCATGCCCCCAAGGTCACCACGGTCAAGCTTATGATCAGAGAATTATTTTGGGTTCTGCATTCTCCTTTCTGCTCGCATGTCCATGATAGGTAATGATCTCACTTTACACTGATGTTCAGGAATCCTGTATATAGTGCATTCTATGTCGAGGGAGATACTAAGTGCTGAGAAGAGCTGTAAGAAATGATTCCACATTTTCAGGATTCAGCTTAAAATCTGAGTAATATCCAGTCAGCAGCTATGACTAGAAATTCTTACTGGAAAAAGTGTTGTATCATTGAAGAGGAACATGGAAATTACTTCCTTCTCCCTAAGAAATGTTAGCTGAGGGGGTTTTCTGCCTTCTCAGCATAAGTGCCCTGAAAGTTGTTCTCTCTTTTTTCCTTCCACTCTTGTTTTCTAACGTTTTATTAAGTTCTAACAAGGGGCCAGGTACTGTCAGTACTGAACATATTTTAGTTCATTCCAGCCCCTTAACAATCCTCTGAGGTAGGTACTATTTTACCAGGGAAACAACTGAAACACAGAAAGTTTGAGTGACTTGCCTAAAAGAGTGGACAAGTTGGGATCCAAAGTTAGGCATTTGGGTTCCAGAGCCCAGACTCTTTATTTTTTTAATGTTTGTTTATTTATTCTGAGAGAGGCAGAGAGGGTGGGGTGGGGGGAGAGAGAGAGAGAGAGAGAGAGAGAATCTCAAACAGGCTTTGTGCTGTCAGTGCTGAAATCAAGAGTGGGACGCTTAACCAGCTGAGCCACCCAGACACCCCCAGAGCCCAGACTCAACCACGATTCCACACTGGCCAATTCTAACAATTCTCCTCTCTTCCTACATAGAATCTGTTCAATCACTTCCTTTCCCCCACCCCACCTCATCCTTCCTGCCACACACTCCCCCAACCCCTTTGGCTCATCTCACCCTCGTTTTCTAACTGCTCCTTCACTGATGCTTCTTTTTGAGCCCACATCTACCTTTGTTCTTTTGGAACAGATCTAAGATTTACTTACACCTTACAAGGCAGCCTTCCTGACAGACTTCGCCCCACCCTGACGGGTGCTGACTCCACGTCACTGGTGGAGAACACTGCACTGTTATCAAGCTTTGCTTACCTATTGCCTTGAACGCCAACACCCTTATAATTCAGGACGCACACATACGTATGAGAGCCGAACCACTCAGGGGCATAGCTTAGAACCCCAGGAAGAAAAGGGAAAGAAACTTTAGTCTCTGAATAGGTATCAGCATTGATGGACTTAGCTTCTTTTGTTGTGCTCATAAGCCACACTGCCTTCTGAACTTCAGGAACAAATAATTTAGAACAGGAACTGGCACTGTCGTCCACCATCTTTTTTTTTTTTTATAAATAAAGTTTTATCAGACCACAGCCATGCCCATTCACTTACATATTGTGTGTGGCTGCTTTTACACATCAGTGGTACAGCTGAGTAGTTGTGAGAGACTGTCTGGCTCACAAAGCTTAAAATACTCTCTGGCTTTTTTTGTAGAACAAAAAAAATTCCCAACCCCTGCTTCAGAAATCTAATGAATCTCTTAAAGTTAGAACAACATTAAGTTACAACGGAAATGGATAAATCATTCCATTTTCCTTATCGATGGAAATTAAACTCTGTCTTGAGGATTAATTTATTTCAGAGATGCTGAAAATCTTTCAAAATCCTTTTCCCTTGCAAAGGTGTTTTATAACATAACAATGACTTATAGTATGTGAACCCTCACCCAGTTGACTTCATGACATCTTTTTTTTTTGATAGAGAGAGTACAAGAGAGCGTGAGACGGGGAGGGGCAGAGGGAGAGTGAGAAAGAAAATCCCAAGCAGGCTCCTCACTGTCAGCAGAGCCTGATGCGAAGCTCAGTGTCACAACCCTGGAATCATGACCCGAGCCAAAATCAAGAGTCAGAGGCTCAACGTACTGAGCCACTCAGGAGCCCCGGCTTCACAACGTGTTAACACATCTCTGTTACTCATTATGGGTAACTTAATAACTCACTGTATTTCAACCCATTTTGCCCATTCAGAATTTTGGAAGTTGGAGGAACTCTTTATAAAATAGACAGTAAAATGGGATTTTATTATATTTTTGTTTAAGTAACGTCTACATCCCACGTCGGGCTTGAACCCACAACCCTGAGATCAAGAGTTGCATGCCCCACCACTGAGCCAGCCAGGTGCCCATGGATGGTAAAATGTGAAAGTATATGTGTACATAGGTGACTGAATTGTAAATCTTCCAGATAATCTCCTGTGAAAATTAGTAATTATGAGAATACTCTTTCTCTTTAATTCCAAAGCGTGAGTTTGTGTGAAATTAAAAATCTTAATAGATTTTGTGTTATTTTAGCTTTTTAAAAAATGTTTATTTTTGAGAGAAAGAGATGGAGCATGAGCAAGGGAGGGGCAAAGAGAGAGGGAGACACAGAATCTGAAGCAGGCTCCAGGCTCTGAGCTGTCACCACAGAGCATGATGTGGGGCTCGAACCCACGAACTGTGAGACCACGACCTGAGCTGAAGTTGGACACTTAACCAACTGAGCCACCCAGGTGCCCCAGTAGATTTTGTTTTTATAAAGAAGTAGTATTGTTCATTTTTTTCTTACAGAAAATCATACTTTTATCCAGTTTTAGAAGTAAGGTAGTATATGAGTTTGCAAATGAAGTATAAGAAAGCCTTTTGAGCATTGAAACTCGGATAGAATGCAAACTTTGGGGATTTTTCTACATATTCGAATATGAGAGTAACACAAAAAGCCATAGTTCAGCCTAAATACAAAAATTATATTTTGAAAGTTCTTATTATACATAATATCTTCTAAGGTGTTTAACATTCAACAACTTGTTCTCTGTTAAGACTTGTTCTCTCTTGGGGTGCCTGGGTGGCTCTGTCGGTTAAGTGTCCGACTTCGGCTCAGGTCATAATCTCACGGTTCGTGGGTTCGAACTCCGCATCGGGCTCTGTACTGACAGCTAGCTCAGAGCCTGGAGCCTGTTTCAGATTTTGTATCCCCCTTTCTCTCTGACCCTCCCCTGCTCATACTGTCTCTATCATTCTCTCTCTGAAATAAATAAAACATTAAAAAAAAAAGACTTCTTCTCTCATATTTAATAAGTTATTATTATGTAATAAGTGCACTCAATGAATAAGCATGATTAAGATCAGACTTCCAACTAATTCCTATAAAATAAAATGACCTTTCTATTTTTTTAGAGGAAAGACTTTAAGTCTTTTTTTTTAGTACCTGAAAAAAAGAACATGTATTGATTTTTCCACTTAGTAGATAATGGTTGAAAATAATTATGCAACATCTTTACTCATTGCCATGGTTTCAAAAGATGAAAAGGTTCACCTCTCTTTTGAGTAAATCATAAAACCATAAAATGAATGTGCATTTCATGAAATAATAATGAATTCCACAACTTTTATTATTAGCTACTTCCTGCAAAATTCCATTTTAGAGGAAAATTTAAAATATCCTAACAGTTCTAGAAAGATTTCAAGAACTATGAGAAATGTGCTATCACAGGCAGTGAATGCTTCCTTATTAACTTTTCTTTGTATTTACAAATATATTAAGAGTTCTATATTTTGAATGATTCCCTTTGAAAAAGATATTCTCCGTATCCTATATGTATAGCCAAGGATCAAGAAAATGTACCTGTATTCTGAGTCTTTCTATCATCCACAAGTTTCCTTGTGAGCCTAGCCTAGAGTCTGAAGCTTAGTCCATAAAATGCCTATTGAACTTTTCAGGGATCTGTTTGCTGCTTCAATGACCTTCTACAAGGCTGCATAATAGAGATGGCCTTGTGTGAGCCGGTACTTCATTAACATTTATTGAGGATAATAAAGTAAATGTAATCATAGAACCAGGAAGGTCAGATTCTCTGGAATTATTTCACAGATTCTATTACCTTTCTCTGATCCAGTTTCCTGGCCACTTAAATGTATGAATTAGGTCCTGGATTTCATCTTCTCCCTTTGTCAGTTGGAGACAGCCGTTGAGGGTTATGGTGCTAATACTGGTGGATGACCACGCTTTGGAATCAGATAAATCTGGAATTGAGTTTCACACCCACTATGTGACCTTGCTAACATTCCTAGCCTTCTGTTTGCCGATCTGTTAAAGTACAAATAATAATATCTGCTTAGCCAGATTATTAGAAAGATGAAATGAGCAAGTGTAAAGCATGACTCCAGTAGCTGGCGCTTAATAGCACTCTCTGTGTCTTCTGCTATGTCTTCATCCCCCTCTTCTCCCCCCACCCACCCAAAATAAGCATACATAGAATATACGTGTGTATTATCACCACCTCAGGCTCCATTAATGCTAGCAAAGAAATTGTTTTTAACGGAGATAGAGTTTATAGTAGATCCTGATATTTAAGGCTATATGGGTTATCCTAATTGATTGTTTCAGGAACTTTTAGGATCCTCATGGAAATTGCCATCATTGGTAAAATTTGGCCTGCTATGGGGCATCTGAGTGGTTGGTTAAGTGTCCGACTTCAGTTTAAGTCTTGACCTCACGTTTTGTGAGTCTAAGTTCAACATCGGACTCTGCGCTGACAGCAAGGAGCCTGCTTGGGATTCTCTGTCTCTCTCTGTCTCTGTCTCTCTCTCTGTCTGCCCTTTGTGCATGTGCTCTCACACACTCCCTCTCAAAGTAAATAAATACACTGAACAAAAAAAAAAAAAAAATACTTGACCACCTTCTCCTGGCTTCTGGTCTAAGCAGATGCAAGGAAGTTCATGCCACTCAGGTAGAGAGGAACTTCTAGAAAGGCAAAAAGCAGACACCATGATTGCATCATGGTGGAGCACTGTTGATCTCTTTCTCTCAGTCTGGAAGAGAGGTCTCATGGTTGTTTGAAGAAATAGCCCTTTAGTAGCTTTCTCTACCTAAAATAAGGCGAATAGATTGCTCATGATGTAAAAGGAAAAGAAACCATCAACTTTTGGGGAATGTTTCCTAAACTGCTTTCTTGTGCCAGAGTAGTCTCAAATCCAACATGCCAGCCAAAGGAGGATTTTTAATCTAAAGTTTAGTATCTAATGACCAAAAGCATTTTCATATAAGTCTGAGATAAGACCAGAAGCAGTGTGCGCGTGTGTGCACACGCGCAAGCGCGCACACACACACATCCAGACAAAAGCTCATTTCTCTGGCATTAACCAGACTCCCTTAGGTAGCACATCCCACCCCATATTCCTGTGAATACTTAGAACCTAGTATTGGCAAAGGAAAGCTGAGGGAATGGATTCAAAACATCTTGAACACAATAAAGCCTAAACAAGCAGCCTTACATGTGAAGAAATATGATCGGTACCAACCCCTCCAGCTTTTATCCAATTATTACATATTTTTTTGCCCAAGTCCCCTAGCCTATACTCCAGTTTATTTAAATGGTCATTCTTCAATGATGCCAGTGTACCATCCACTGCTTCTGACAGCATCCTGAGCCAAGATGTAGCCCACCATAAGGCTAAAAGTCTTTAGGAGGTAAAATAGGCAGGCCTTTCTCCAAGTCAGGCCAAGTAAATGTTACTCACCATCAGCCCTGCTCCTATAATTCCTGGGAACCACCACTCAAAGCAAGAGATGGGGTTTTTGAAAACTTGGCCTTCATCAACTAAGTTGACAATTAGAGGGATTGCGTTGAGACCTATTCCCAGTAGAAGAAGAACCAGCAAGCTGAATCCATTGCAGGATGTCCATCCTTCACAGCAGGTCATGGTTAGTCCCTGGTTCAATGAGAAACCCTGTCCAAGTGACTGTTTGGGTGGCACTGTCTTGCCTTTTATCCTGAGCCTTCTAGTTAAAGTTTAGAACTTATGAAAAATAATTACAGGAAGTAGTTCAGAGTCCAGTAGGGCAGGACATTATTATGAGAATTGTTAAGGAAGTAATTTGGGGGTTATTTGCACTTTGGTATGTATTTATTAAAGACAACCTTTTAGAGTTTGTATTAAAATATTTCCCTGATAGACACAAAAATTTCCTGATAATGATTAAAAACAGCTACTCCCACCCCAGACACTTGTGCCCACCCCAGTATTCAGTCTACACTGGCTTAATCTCTTTTTTTAAGTTTATTTATTTATTTTAAGAGAGAGAGCAAATGTGAGTAGGGGAGGAGCAGAGAGAAGCCCAAGCAGGCTCCTCACTGTTAGCATAGAGCTCGACATCAGGCTCAATATCACAACCCTGACTGAGACCATGACCTGAGCCTAAATCAAGAGTCAGACGCTTAACCAACTGAGCCACCCAGACGCCCCTACACTGGCTTAGTCTTGAACTGTGATCCAGTAAGACTGAAGACAAAATGCTTCAGGTCCTAGGCGAGACAATCAAGTACAGTAAGCATTCTGGACCCTTGGATTGATTGACATCAATGAGAACCAATCTTTAATGTGGTCAAAGAAACGTGCTCATCTGCAATGACAGTTTCAAGCTCCTACCAGCCCACCCTTTCAGCAGGCGGCCATAAAGCATCATCCTCTCTGGCTTTTTCATTGTCATTAATTCTTCTCAATTTCTCTATCACACCTTAATGTACATAAGCCTCTTCTTCTGACCATGACATCATTTGCATTATTGCTGTTGTTGTCATGCCTCAACTTCCTGTCAGGTAGAAACTAAAATTGCAGGGACTCATGGTCACACTTGCCCTTGTGACTCACGTAGTAATGCAGATAAAGGTCACTCTCCATGGCTCCATAAGAGATGGAAGGTGAGAAAAAAGATCTGTAATTTATATTAGATACACTTATGCAAGAAAATAAAGAGATGAAAACTAAAAACAAGGGTTTAAGATATGCTTCTCTAATATATTTGACTAGTTTGCCTCAAAAAATAAAAACAAGAATATCCATTTTACATATTTTTTCTGTTGTATTGATGTTATTACCACCTATGAGAGTTCCTTATTTGGAAAATGTTCAATAAGAAAGTGAACATATATGGGGTGTCTAGGTGGCTCAGTTGGTTAAGTGTCTGATGTCGGCTCAGGTCATGATTTCACAGTTCATGAGTTCGAGCCCCACATTGGGCTCTGTGCCGATAGCTCAGAGCCTGGAATTTGCTTTGGATTCTGTGTCTCCCTCTCTTTCTCTCTCTCTCTGCCCCTCTCCTGTTCATGCTCTGTCTCTCTCTCTTTCCCTCTCTCCCTCTCTCAAAAGTAAACATTAAAACAATAGTAATATGGATGGAACTGGAGTGTATTATGCTAAGTAAAATTAGTCAGAGAAAGACAAATATTATATGACTTCACTCATACGTGGAATTTAAGAAACAAAACAGATGGACATAAGGGAAGGAAAGCAAAAAGAATATGAAAACAGGGAGGGGGACAAAACATATGAGACAAGTACAGAGAACAAACTGAGGGTTGCTGGAGGGTTTGTTGGCGGGGGGTTAAATGGGCAAAGGGCATTAAGGAAAACACTTATTGGGATGAGCACTGGGTGTTATATGTAGGGATAAATCACTGGATTCTACCTACCCCTGAAATAATGATTTCAGGGGTATATGGAAATATATATGCTAACTAACTTGGATGTAAATTTTTAAAAAAAAATTTTTAATTTAAAAGTATAAAAAATAATAATAAAAAAATAAAATACAAAAGTTCTCACTTATACTAATTGGCCATCTGTGGGTCAACAAGAGGGCTCTGCTTGTGGGAATTACTGAGAGATTCAGGCTGACAGAGGCACAGCCCAGCTCTCACAATTGTGGAGGCAGAGTAAAAAGATGTGCTGAGCCACATACAGGGTCTTAACATTTTGATCCAGAAGAGATCCACATCACCTCTTTTCACATTTGCTTGACCAAATGGTCACTCAGTCATGCTGGAGCTCAAGGGGCTGATGAAATCCAAACCAACGTGTGTCCAGAAGACCGGCTCTAATGCCTTCCCTGCCTTCCTTCGTCCTTCTCTGAGCAGTCCCCATTCCAGCCCAGAGCATGGATGCAGCAGGTACTGTGGGGAGTGCCAAATGGCCGAGTGGAGTGGAGTCGGTGTCACCCACAAGGTCAGGTGTCATGGTCTCGGAGAGTGGCACCCCAACCTGCAGAAGCAGAGGGGCATGTGGTGTGTGTGACACGGGCCATGTCTGGTAATGGACACTGAAGCATTAGTTACACTTTGGGGTCTGAGCAGAAAATGACTCTTTGTACCAAATGGGTTAAGCACACCTCCCCCACCCCACCCCCCCATCAGCATAGCACACAAACCACTGAAAATGACTGACGGAACACCATTTCAGACTACACACTGCAGTGGCGCTGTGAGAAGGAGAGACTTTCATTGTGTGCTTTGTATACTTCTGCACGGTTGAGGTATCTAGAATAATTTCATACTGATTTTATTAAAATTGACAGTTAAAAACTACCATCCTGCTGAATTATATAAATTACATGACTACAGAATTATAATAATATATAAGTAAATTATGTATTGATTACTGAGATAACTGCATGGGAAGAGGTAATTACTTATTTTAGGATGTGGACTTGGCAATTTTAAATCTTTTCCCATCTCCAAAAGGAGGTTAATTAAAGAACTCCTTAGGTATTGGTTTGTTCAAAGGGACCTGAACTTGTTAGACTCGACCTGACTTCTAGACTCTTTTCCAGAAGACCAGAACTAAGTAGCATGCTTTGCAGGTGGCCATAACAAAGCCTACTTCCACTTGGGTTTGGTCCTCTTTACACTTGTGGCTAAAAGTAGGTACCTGAAAAATTGTATAAAAATGTCGAGCTATAATCTGTATTATCAAGGGAAAGATATTTAGGGATAAAGCAGGAAAGGGAATCCACTTACAAATGAAGAGAAGGAAAAGAGCAGACAACATTTAAGGTAACTTTCTGACCCACATGCCTTCTTCTGTAAAAACAGTCCCCACAGTTTACATGAGTAGGCCTTCTGTACCTCATTCGTATTCTGGAACTTGCCCTCCCCGCCCCCCCCCAGTCATTGCTAATTGGAATGCAAGTAGCTACAGAAGCTAAACTCTTCTAATCTCTCCCAAGATCTTAGAATTGAAAAAGACACTAGTGGGGAACATGGGTGGCTCAGTCGGTCAAGCGTTCAACTCTCAGTTTTGGCTTAGGTCATGATCTCACAGGTGGGTGAGTTCAAACCCCTCATCAGGCTCTGCGCTGAGAGTGCAGAGCCTGCTTGGGATTCTCTCTCTTTCTCTCTGCCCCTCCCCTACTCACACTGTCTCTGTCTCTCTCAAAATAAAAAAATAAATTTTTAAAAATTAAAAAAAAAAGAAAAGACAATACTTATTGTCTGTTATGCATGAAATGAGGAGGACACACATATCAATTAAGATTAGGCTTTAATTGCGTGTAAAAAGAAATTCAAGGTAACAATGGCTTACATAAGATAGAAATTAGTTCTTCATAAGGAAACAATCAGAAAAACTAAAAGACAACCAACAGAATGAGAGAAGATATTTGCAAACAATGTATCAGATAAAGTGTTAGTATCCAAAATCGATAAATAACTTATCAAACTCAACACCCAAAAAACAAATAATCCAGTGAAGAAATGGGCACAAGACATGAATAGACACTTCTCTAAAGAAGACATCCAGATGGCCAACCGACACATGAAGAAAAATGCTCAACATCACTCATCAGCAGGGAAGTGCAAATCAAAACCACAATGAGATACCACCTCACACCTGTCAGAATTGCTAACATTAACAACTCAGGCAACAACAGATGCCGGCGAGGATGTGGAGAAAGAGGATCTCTCTTGCACGGATGGTGGGAATGCAAACTGGTGCAGCCACTCACTCTGGAAAAAAGTATGGAGGTTCCTCAAAAAATTAAAAATAGAACTACCCTACAACCCAGCAATTGCACTACTAGGTATTTATCTAAGGGATACAGGTATGTTGTTTCAAAGGGGCACAGGTACCCCAATGTTTATAGCAGCACTATCAACAATAGCCAAAGTATGGAAAAAGCCCAAATGTCCCATAGATGGATGAATGGATAAAGATGTGATATATATATATATATATATATATATATATACACACACACAATGGAGTATTACTTAGCAATCAAAAAGAATGAATCTTGCCATTTTCAACTACGTGGATGAAACTAGAGGGTATTATGCTAAGCGAAATTAGTCAGAGAAAGACAAATATCATATGACTTCACTCATATGAGGACTTTAAGATTCAAAACAGATGAACATAAGGGAAGGGAAGCAAAGATAATATAAAAATAGGGAGGGAGACAAAATATAAGAGACTCTTAATTATGGAGAATGAACAGAGGGTTACTGGAGGGATTGTGGGAGAGGGATGGAATAAATGGGTAAGGAGCATTGAGGAATTTACTCCTGAAGTCATTGTTGTACTATATGCTAACTAACTTGGATGTAAATTTACAAAAGAAATTAGTTCTTCATAAAAAGTCTGCAGGTAAGTACTCAAGAGCCTGAATAATAGCTGCACTCCCTCAAAGACCCTTCCACCTATGGATCCACCATGTCTTTGATCCCCTCATTATCATGATGGAAATATGGCAGCCATAGCTATAACCATCATATCTGTCCTCCATTTAGAAGGATAAAGGAAGAGAAAGGCCCACCTTCTTTCTTTTAAAGAGCCATCTCATTGGCTACAATGGAGCCATGTGATAACATTTAGCTGCAAGGGAGTCTGGGGATTACATACTATTTATTTCAACTGATTTGTGCCCA